AACAACTATGTCAGCAGGATTATTCTATGCAGTTATTCTATGCATATAATACATCTAGCACTTTTTAAACCTTTTGTTCAAATCATTAGAAATGTCACAAGTGAGGTGGGAGGAAGAATCCAGAAGTTCATTCCAGAAGGGCAGGTGGAAGGCTTGCTCATCCAAGATTTGTAGTCTTTAAAAATCATGGGAAGTGTTAGTATCTTCTGGGGCAAAATGTTTCATAATTCTGCCGCTGCTGGGTAACTTTCTTTAATCTATTACTTTAATCCACAGTCTGGCTAAAGTATGTTTGAATTAAAAAAGCAAAAACCAATGTTCATAAGCTTTTCTTCTATGTATGATTTGAGTTGTGGTAACTCTGAAAAATCTTCTGTACTATCAAGTTTTGTACTTGAGTAGCCGCCATAGTCTTAACTGTGTGCAGCTATAGAGTTGGGCTATTGAGGAGTATAATCTCTACAAGTAATAATTCTTCTGCTGTTGAGACAGTTGGCATGCTACATCTGGATCAATACATCTTACTGGTTGCTCTCTTCCATAAAAAGGAATTTCTTAAAAAGCCAATGCCTGTAAAGTTAACCTTTGGGAGACGGAAACAAGAAACTGTTATGGTAAGGTATAGTGAACACCTTGGCAATAATGCTGGAAGCTGCAGTATAGGAGCACGGAAGATGTGTGCAAGTCTCTAGCTCTTGCAAAGAAGGGTTCCACTGTCTGTGATGATTGCTGCAAGCATCTCTAACTGCAAAGCTCCTAGCAGGTAAAAGCATGATCCCATTGTTGAGGCTTTGACTGTAGTTGGTGAGGGCAGAGACCCATTGCTGTACAAAATTGTTTTGTCAGTACCTCTGTTGGTGAAAGATGGTTCTCAGGCAGCTTCCCTTATTCCCTGTCCTCAGTAAGAGTGTAAAATAATGAGAGCATCATGTGCAGTATCAGAACGTGTAAGTACAAAGCAGTTTTATATGTAAGCAGCTGCTTCCTTGATTAAACGTAGTGGAATATCATTTTTATATTTCTTTGCAGAAATTGGAGCTTGAAAGATGATGCTCTTTATTTTCTTCAACATTTTGATAGTATTAGCTATTTAAACCAGCTTCATTACTGTATCCCGTTAAGACAAGAAAAAGCTGCTGTTGTGAAGCCTTTCTAAGGAATTTGTATGACGAGAAGCCCATGCTATGCGGCATGTGCTAAACCTGTAACTGGTCAAACTTGAGAGATGGAAAAAGAGCAGTTAAATGCTATAATCTCAGGTGTTTCTTTGGCCTCTTTCTCTTTGCATAAGAGTGATGGCAATAGGAAGGTTTAGCTAAAGAAATTACTACTTGGGGCATGTCAAATCTAGTAAGACGTGTAGTCTTAGATACAAACGCGCCGGTTGCCCTGTCCTTTACTGGGGCCTTCCATGTTGTGATACTTGAAAAGAAGCAAGAGCAGAAGAGTTCATGTGCATTTATTCCAGTGCCACCTCATACAGTTCAACATAGCCTAAGTATGTTGCCTTTAAGTTGGGATCTAGATAACTTCACCACAAATAAATGTGCTGCATGGCATACGCTACTGTCAAAAACTCTCAGCAAAACTAAACAGCAATTTTTACCGATGAGAAACTTTTCCGTGTAGCAGGGTATTTCAAGCTGTGTGTGAAAAATCTCAGATCTCTTCAGGCTAACAAGTCTTCTTGTAAATAATCCATTCTAATAAATGCGGAGGCTATGCACAATTGGCACAAATAACTTACTGTTATCATCTAGTACTGGGGATGAAATAGTAGATTATCTGTACTTTTCAGTGCACTGTGATACAGCAGTGGAAATTTCTGTGTAGGAACAGAATTTAACTGTTTCCTGGCTAAATTCCTATCAGTGTATGATAGAATTGTCAACGTGTAAATGTATCTTATTTTTCCTTTAGCAGTACAAGTGCACACTATGACTCTGTTCATTGGACTGTTTAGGTAAAAGGCACTATTTCGATTAAAAAGTTGTATTAATAAGAGCATTTCTGATCTGAAATGCTAAAACCTTTTTTCTTTCCTCTTTTGTTACACCCCCTCCAAATCCACAGTGTGTTAGTGTTTTTTACTGTTTATGAAGATCTTATCGTGCATGTATTGCTGTTCTAAAATAGTGCTAGTGTGTTTTTTCCATTCAGTATGTGACTTGAGTGGAAGCATTGTTTCCTCATGAGCACAAGCATGAAAAATACTACGCCTGCTTTATTTACAGCTGAGACCACAGTGGTGCTTTCTTAATCTTGCATTAAAGGGCTGAACTCAGAGCCTTGTGTAGTGGAATTCTTTCATGCCCACACTCTGTAATATCTGTTCTCATTGGTGCTTTATCGGGCACCCACTAGCACTGATAACCAGCAGTAACCTTTCAGTTATTACATTTTTTCATGTGCTTCAAAATATTTTCCTAAGAAATATTGCACAGTGTGGAGAGACAAGACACACAGAACAAAACTTTCTTGTGTTCATAGTGTGCCTATCTTGCAGCTGATCTATTAACTGATAACTCAAAATATCGGTTGTGAGCCATTATCTCCTTCCCAGGATACAACAGGCTGAGCTGTGGGCTTGTTTGAACACTATAGTGAAACGCGTAGCTATCACGTGATGGTTCAGGTTGGAAGTGACTTCTGGAGGTCATCTTGTCGATGTGTACAGGTTCTACCAATACCTGGCCAGCCGTGGTCATATGCTGAAGTATATAATTGTCTCTTACACTAGATACTAGGGTATCCTCTGCTTTCTCTTAAAACCTAAATGTGCAGTAAATGAAAACTCATAGCTTGTTTTAAAAAAAAAAAAGTGTTGTGACTTGGTATTACAGCATTAACTATTTTAGGCAAACATAATGTTTCAGTATGTTAGGACATGAGGATACAGATTTCTTCTAGCCCTTCCTTGATCCTTCCCAACCAGTCTTTCCAAAGAACAATTTTATTGTTTCTTATTAGAGACATGACGTGCCGTTTTGTAATATCAGATGATGTTATCAAACGTTGGCAGTTTTCTTGGCCAAAGCATAAAACTGCTTAGGTAATATAAATGTGGCTGCCTCTTATGCAACACTTCAAAATTGAATTTGTTGCAAGTATAATGTGATTCTTTTCTATGAGAAATAAGAATGGATTTTATATGAAGCAATAATAATACACAGTTACACTATTGCATGCTTGATTGGAGGTTTTGTTGTCATGGTTGTGAACATGTTTATTAATCTGTCCTTTGTTTTAATGTGTTTTTTTTCTTCTTTCCCTCCCCACTTCTGAATGTGGGTGGGGGAGAAGTGGGGAGAAACTTCTGGTAAGTGCTGCTGAAACCAGCAGAATCTGATGAGGGAGTCATTAATACCTAGAAAGAGTTTTGAGGTTTATTTCTGCATTTCTAGGAAAGTTGTTTGAAGGACAAATACTCAAGGATATTGGAGCAGGGCAGTATGTAGGCTCATTCTTTTCTGTCGTGAGCTTCAGTTGTGTCCGAGCTGGGCGAGGAGCCTGATTAGAGGCTTTCTATTTCCTGTTAAAGGTAATGATCTGGAAATTGATCATGATTCTACCTACTGGTGGAAAGCTTATGTCATACAGGATCTCTAGATGTGTTGCACGTACACCTTTTTTTAATGAGAATTTCATATTGCAGAGTCAGTGAGAGAAGGACTGACATCAATCTGTGCTAATGACTTTTGGGTAAGGTTGACATAATCAGTTTTGGGGTTTTTTTTATTTAATCTGTTTGTATGTTTACTGCTGATTGTGAGGGGGTATGGATGACGCCCTTCATAAGTGACAGTTCTATAAACATTTCCTCTGGACTATGTGCTGATGGTATATTTGGTATTAATGTATCATGAGGAGGAATTTCATAAAGTATATCACATTAAACTTATTTGGTGTGTTCCTTCAGCACAGAACATACTTCTTGAAAGCATCATTTGGGTCCAGTCTATTTTGTGTCTTATTTAGCGAATGGCAGTTTTGCGCTTTACCTCATTGGGATTGAACCTCTAATTGCTTAAATGTTTTTTAAGCCCTCTGGGATGCAGGCTGCTTCACAAATACTGCTTGAGCTGGTTTGTTAAATAGTATTCTCTCAATAGTATTCAGGGTCTTTCTGGTATATTCATTCTTTATACTTGTTGCCTTGGTTAACTAACATACTTTGCTTAGGGAGTGCTTCCTGCAGATTTCTTACAGCATGTAGAAAATATAAAGATGAGTTTAAATGTTTAGGTGTTTGCCTGGCTTGGCAGAACAAAACTACCTCTTGAAAAGCAGGCATGCAACAAGTATGTCTAAATACACATGTATTTTTAATATAGATATCAAACAGTTAAGATTTCTGCATCATAAAGCTGAGACTTGCATTGTAAAGAAAAGCCACAAGTTGGTCTTTATCGACCGGACTGGCGTTTTCTGCATCTGTCATCTTTCCCTTTTAAACACTCTCCCACCCTCCTTTCTAGCAGCATCACCTTACAATGAATAGTAGAATAGTTTGCAGGGAAGTGAATAATTTATTTCCTGAAAAATTGATCAAATGACAGCTAAGCCTGAACTACAGGAAATGCTATAGCTGAGACCAGTAACTTGTGGCAGAACAGTATACACTTTCAGGTTAAGAAGTAAAACTTCCTGTGCTGTAGAAGTCTGAAAACTAGCAGCTCTTTTTCTAAAAGACCAGGTGTTTGTTTCTTAGGGCTGTAGAACTGATTCTTAAAAATATTTATTACTCTGACTGCTAACAGTTTGCTCCAACTGAAGCAGAGTACCGAAGTCATCTGTGTAAGATTGTTTTATATTCCTTGAAATCTGTGAGATATGCCTCGTGCAAGGAACATAAAGGAAAATCTTAAAACGTCTGCTGTGTTACTCCATAGTTTTTCTGTTTGCACAAGTAAATTGGGTTTTTTTTACAACACTGAGTATTAAATGCCCTCTCTACTCTGTTAACTGCATAAAAGAAACTTTTTTTTTTTATTTCCAAGGAGCCCTTTGAAGATGGCTATGCAAATGGTGAGGAAGGCACACCAGCTGGGGAAGCAGCTGCCACTTATACACCTGATAGCAAAGGGGTGGTCAAGTTTGGCTGGATAAAAGGTGTATTGGTAAGTTTGCTGTATTGTACTTCATTTTCTTACAGATAGGATCTCTCAAATAACCTTTTTTAAGAGGGATTGTGATAGCGCTGTGTACACAAAAGATTATATCTATGGGAGATGTGAAAAATGCCATAGTTTTAGGAAGGGTTGCTCTCACTCGTACTGAATTTTAAGGAAGTAAATACTTCAGGACTTCACGTTTTGAAGGGATCATGGTTTCTTAGCACAGGTTTTACAGTTTTGAAGTTGCATAATTTCCAAGAAGGAAAAAGATTACGTAAGTACTCATATGTAGTAGAAAAACTACATATGAATCTTAAGTGGCAAAGACAAATGCAAATGGAGGGAAAACACTTAATGTGTGTTCTCTTTGAGACTGTAAAGTCTTGGACTAAAGTGTCAGAAACCTTGATTTTTATTTATTTCTTTTTCGAGAAGCAAAAAATAATGTGTTGAGGAGACTACCTACGTGTATATGGCAAAACTTGACCAGGATTAAGTATTTAAATTTTGTTGAACCTGTTAGAAAAAGTAATCTCTCCCAAGCTGTGTAAGTCTTAACACTAAATACAATATAGTCATGGTGGAAAAAACTGAGTCTGTCCCCATTTGGAGTAGTGAAAAATTAAGGCTGACATGGGGGGTTTTATTACAAGTACATATTAATTTATTTTTAATATTTTGGCAAAGGGAAACAATGTTTAATACGTATTCTCCAAAGGTGTAAGAATTTATAGTGGTGACTGCAAATGCGACAGTTTGTTAAAACATACTGAACTGGAGCATTCAGAATACCTAACTTCAGTTCAGCAAGCTTCCACTGTGTATTAGCAACTTCCTTACAAGTAGCCATATTCTCTACCTTGGGAGAAGGAGAGTGCCTATGGTAACTGTGTAACACGTATTTTGGACTTCTGTTGATGTACCCCAACTAAGGACAAAGTCATTAATTTTAAAGCAGGTATGAAGCTGACTTTCAGTTTCTCCAAACCCAAATTCTGCATTGGACTATTTTTGTAAGCAACAATTCTAAGTATTAAAGAGTTATGGGATAAATGTTGCTGACCATTTTCTTCCAAAGTCTATTTAAAAGTTTCAAGGAGGATGATCTTCTTTTCAGTTATTTGAAAGTTCAGTATTTCCTAGTAGGCATAAGCTGCCTGGGTAAATATGTCCAGCTCAGCTGATTTACATTTTGCAAAAGATGTTTTAAATTTCTGTAAACTTGTTACTGTTGTTGTTTGGAGAGGTCCTTGTCTCCATTCTAGTCCAAATGACCAGCTAAACTTTTTGTAGGATTGATATCATATGCTTTAGGTAAGAGAGACTTAAGACCTGCTGTTAGTCTTACTGTCTAAATTCTGTACAGTGCAAACTATTTTGAGCGTCTAAAATATAAAAGAGCGTCTAAAATATCTAAAAGATAAAAAAAATAAACACTCCCCCTTTCTGCCCCTCGTCCTCCTGTTAGTGTGCAACTGTGTTGTAAGATACAAAAGTTCTAGGACTGGGAAGTTGTGGGGGTGTTTGTGGTTTTTGGTTTGGTGTGTTGTTGTTTGTTGTTTTTTTAGAAAAAAACCCGAATAGATTATTTAGTTGGATATCGCTTTAGTGCATTTTTGGGGAGGTTTGTGGGAAGTCCGAACTGGGGTTGTAGGCCTCAATCTTATTTTTAGTCATGTATTCTGTAGTATTAATTCTGGATCGTAAATGATGGGGTCTAAATTATTTTTGTTTGGTCAAGACATACTACAAGTGTCAGATGTTGAACTTTATGTTCAAGGCAGTAACCTTTTTATCATATTTAGGCTCCCCTTTTTTAATTAAACTTCTAAACTTGTGTAATTAAAAAAATCTTGAAAAGTGGTGAGGAAAGACTGCAAGATAATTTTGACAATATTAAAAAATTAAATGAAGAATTAATGGAAGTGGCTGGAGATGTAAGACCTAACCTATGTAACACTTCTGTTTTATCTTAGGTACGATGTATGTTAAATATTTGGGGTGTGATGCTCTTCATCAGACTATCATGGATTGTCGGACAAGCTGGGATAGGTATGTGTACTAATGCTGTGATTTTATTTTCGTGACTTTTAAATGTGATCCAAAAGAGGTGTTGATCCTGAGCTTACACTTTAAATGGGGGTAGAAAATGACCTTAATATTGCCAGTTTTTAAGGTAATTTATCGTTATCAAAACTTTAAGCAGTATGAAGTTAGACTTTTTCATTTAGCTGCAAGCTATGTAATTTAAAATTGACATTTTAAGTCTTCAGTGAACTGTAGAGATAAACTTTTGATCTCTGGTTATTTTGACCTCTGATGTGTTTCTGTGCCCCCTTTGTTCTGTATATAGACTGTGTAGTATATAAACAGTTTTGTTCAAAGGATTAACTTAGAATTGGACTGCAGAAAATATCTCGCCTGCCAAAGGGATGTGTTTCCTTCAAGCTCTAGAAGACAGGTTTTACCCTGCTGACTAAAGAGAACATTTATCCAGTTTTGTTTGTATCCTGGAAACTTCTGTGTACAAAAGGGGAGTGAAGAAGCCTTTTGCTTGAATGTGCAGGACCACACACAGTACATTTGTTTTACATTTGCAAGACTAACTCTTTAAACCAAGTTAAGTTGAAGATTTATACATTTTAATACTGTTGGACTTACACCTTTTTTTTTTTTCTCCTCTTTTTTTCAAAAAGGTCTGTCTGTCTTGGTTATTGGAATGGCCACTGTTGTGACAACTATTACAGGACTGTCTACTTCAGCAATAGCTACGAATGGGTTTGTAAGAGGAGGTAAACCTACTTTCATAAAGCTTTTAAAGCTTTTATCACTCTGAAGTGTACAGCTTAAGGATGGAAAGTCCTTTAATTTTCCATTTCTTTAGCAGTCTGGATGGAAAGTAGGAAAGCGTTAGTTTTCTGAGGAGCAGCCTTCCCTATGTTCTGTATTTGAATAAGTAATCATGTAATTAATGAAAAGTCAATAAGTAGCCTACTAATTTGATTAGACTAGTGGCTTGCTTTTCTGCTGTGGAAAAAACATTTTGTATTCCAAAAATTAAGAATAGATTTATTTTTAGAGACATGTATCCAGGAATGAATAGGGTCTTAGTATTCTCCAGAATCTGCACTGGTTCATTAAGAATGTGAATGTGTGCTTGTATGTGTTCATGTCCTGAGATAAAATTTACTAATGAAAAAATTGATCCTATGAAAGGATAAGCTATATCTGTATGAGTGTACAAAAGGACATGTTCTATCGTGATTTTTTTTGTACACAAAAAAATTCTCCGGACTCTTGATTATGTCCAGCTTTCCTGAGGTCGTTTTCATTCTCTTTCATGGTTTGTGATGTCAGCAATTCCTACAAAAGAGTTTTGTAGGTGGTTGGTGTCTTTGACATGCTCAAACTGCTTTATGATATTACAAGACTGCTACTAGTAGGAAATGTGGTGGATTTAAAATAGAAGCTTATAAAATTCTCTTGATTAAGAATGAAGAAGAAAACCTTGCTATCACAAAGTAAACAGGCCCAACGGGAAGGATCAGCTATGAATCTTAGCATTACATCAAGTTTAGTTTCTAAATGCCCTTTATTTTTTTAAATTGCATTATATATATTTTATTTCCTGTTCTTATGAGAGCCTTTTTTTTTTTTTTTTTGAGTCACTCCTGCAAAATAATACTTCATTAGAAAATTTGAAGTGCTGAGTGGGAAGAACTGTAGAATAAAATCATAGTTGTTCCTATAAAAGTCTTCCATTATAGTAATACTTTTCTTATGTTAACATTCTCATTTGTAAAGTATGTTGAAGCTGGGTTTCTACATATGTTTTACACAAGAACTGTAATGCAGTGAAATTAAGGACTTCCAGTTGCAAATTTTTAATGTGCATTCCATTACTTCAGACTGGAGCTGGAGGATTTTGTTGCTGCTAGAAAGTTTAGCCTTAAATTGGAGCAATGTGCCTTTGCTACATTTTTAAATTTTACTCTAATGCTGTAGATACTCAGTTTTCCGTTTGTCGTATGTGGGGTTTGAGGTGTTGTATTTGTCAAGCTCAAAACTACAAAGAATAGGTTCTGAAAAACAGAGTGGCCATGTGATTGTTCTGAGTCCCGTTGTAGGGCAGAAAATTCCCTAACAACAGAGCTTTAAGAAATGTGTTAGAGGTTTGGAACTTGAGTGGGTTTACTACAGTCTACTTTGCCAGTTTCTTGAGCTATAGGTAATGAAAATGTATAATAGTAGAACTGCATAAATGCTTTGAATATTTTGAAATAAAAAGCCCAGTAATACTCCTGCTTGTGTTCTACAATTTGTTTTTAACCATAGAACTGGTTTCATAGCTGAATAATACTGTGTGGTGCATGAGTCAGGTGATTATTTCCAATTGGTGTCTTTTCTTAAAAACTTAAAATGTATTCCTGAAACCAGCATACCTGTCTGTAAAATTTTGAGGTTTGATTTTTTTCTAATGCATCAGGGAAGATGCAAGAATAAATATCATCTTGTTTGTGTAAACTTTAAATTGCTGATGACTGTCTGTTCTTAGGCTCTTTCATGTAATGTTTTTTGTCTTTTTTTTTTTTTTTTTTTTTTTTTTTCCTTTCATAAAGAGCATATTACTTAATTTCCAGAAGTCTGGGGCCAGAGTTTGGTGGTGCCATAGGTCTGATTTTTGCATTTGCCAATGCTGTTGCAGTAGCAATGTATGTTGTTGGCTTCGCAGAGACAGTTGTGGAGCTGCTCAAGGTATATGGCTGATAGTGGTTATGTTGATTACACTGTCCTTTATGCAAGTTTGAGCTGTCACCTAATCATAGAATGGTTTAGGTTGGAAGGGACCTTTAAAGGTCATCTAGTCCAACCCTTCTGCAATGTGTAGGGACACCTTCAACTAGATCAGGTTTCCCAAAGCCCTGTCCAACCTGACCTTGAATATTTCCAGGAATGGGGCATCTACAGCCTCCCTGGGCAACCTGTTCCAGTGTTCTACCACCCTTATGGTAAAAAAAAAAAAAAAAAAAAAAAAAAAGCTTCCTTATGTCTAGTCTGAATCTACCTTCTTCTAGTTTAAAACCATTATCACTTGTCCTACTGCCAAGTAGTTTGTCCCCATCTTTCTTATAAGTCCCCTTGAAGTACTGAAAGGCCACTGTAAGGTCTCCCTGGAGCCTTTTTTTTTTGCTCCAGACTGAACAACCCCAGCTCTATCAGCCTGGTCTCATAGCAGAGGTGCTCCAGCCCTCTGACCGTTTTTGTGGCCCTCCTCTGCACTCGCTGCAACAGGTCCATGTCTTTCGTGTGCTGAGGGCCCCAGAGCCGGACACAGTACTGCAGATGGGGTCTCACCAGAGCAGAGTAGAGGGGCAGAATCACCTCTCTTGACCTGCTGGCCATGCTGCTTTTGGTGCAGCCCAGAATATGGTTTGCTTCTGGGCTGCAAGTGCACATTGCTGTCTCATGTCCAGCTTTTCATCCACCAGTACCCCCAAGTCCTTCTCTGCAGGGCTGCTCTCAATCCCTTCGTCCCCCAGCCTGTACTGATACTGGGGTAGCCCTGACCTTTTCAAAGACATGGAATGAGGTACAAGGTAACTACTGCTATACCAGTAAAACACTACTGTAATTCAGTAGCTTTTTGTAAAAAAACAAATTATCACTGGTGTCAAACAAACTTCCTACACTGTTTATTTCCCTGAAAAAACAAAATGTATAATTTGTGGTAAAGTCTGAGCTGGCTGTTGAGAAGAGTGGCAGTACAGATATATGATGCAGAATCAGAAGTTGTTAATGCTGAGGTTCTTATTAGTGAACTGTTTCTTGTAAGTGATAGTCATTTATAGGAAACTCATTTACAAAGGAGTTCTGTTTATTAAAAACAATTTCTTAAGTTAAATACAACTAAGTATTATTTGTTGGATTTTTTGATTAATAATGAGAAGAACTCAACCATACTTTCTGTATATGAGAAGAAGTTTGAAATACATTGAAAGAATTAAGAGTAATACTAAACAACAAATAAAATACATGTATAGGTGGAATACAGTAGCAGTTGCTGTGCTCATTAATCTAATTCTCTGGCAGTTGAATACAGGCGGTTCTCTCTGGGGAAGGGCTATGAATAGGAGTGATCATTTCCATTGGAAGATTCAATGACTTAAAACAAGGCAAAACCAAATTATTTGTGTCCATGCAGGGAATCTAAAATGAGTAAATTTGTAGTATAGAGGCTAACTCTATTAATAAATTACAGTCGATAAAATGCTGTTCTGCAGTAGGGAAGATAAGTATTTGATAAAGTACATGACTGTGTACTTTTTTTGTTTGTTTTGTTAGGAAAACGGAACATTGATGGTTGATGAAATGAATGATATCAGAATCATAGGGGCTATCACAGTGGTTATATTGCTGGGTATATCCGTGGCTGGAATGGAATGGGAAGCAAAAGTAAGGAACTATCACCTTTTATTCTCTGCTTCATAATTTTTATTGCATTTTCTACCTCACCTGTTTGATTTATTTTTCAGTATATTCAGCGCACTCAGTATTGCACTGTTAGAAGTCAGTCAGCAGACAGTTTTTATGTAACAGCTTTCTGTCAAGTGCTAGCATGTGCAGGTCTGGACAGCGTTTCAGACCTTAGACCATTTTGCTCCAGTGGAAGCTTAGGCATCTATGAGAATCTAAAAACCAGCATAATCTAGTCTTAATGACATTGTCAAGTAGGTTAACGGTATTACCTTCTGGGCAACTACAGCACAACAAGAAAAGGTAAGAGCACTGGTGTGGGAATTTTTCCTCACTAGGAACTTCACATGAACTCTGTGGATGGAAAATACAGGGCTGGAGCTGAAGCCAGTCTAAGGTTCTGTAGTTTCTGATAAGGCAGAACCAGTATTCTTACCTTCCCTTCCACTCTTCTGGGTTTGTTTTCACGTGGAAACAGCCAGGCAGTGTGGTGCAGTCAAGGGCTGTGAACATTGGTGGTGATGAATGCATAGGAGGGGGAACCTACTTTCCTCATATTCTTGTGGTTGCATGGTCTTAGGCCAACTCTGTGGGAACAAACATGTACAGAACCTAGGATACCTTTACATAGAGGTTGCCTTATTATTTTTCTGTTTTGCATTACTAGGCAGTGTTTCTTGCTCAGTGTTTCTTGCACATGGTAGGTTTTTTCTGAATATCTGTCCATAGTGTACTCAAAAATAATTGAGAAAAGCCTCACTTGGTCTCCCTTCCCATTTGATACTTGGTTTACAATAGCTGCTATCTTCTGTAGTGAGAGGCAACTGAAGGAGCTGCTTCATGTAAATGTTAAAACAGTTTCTTACGCTCCTGCATCAAGATGGTGATGATACTCATAATTGAAATGAGAGGGGGTATTTTTCCACATTGTTTCATCCAGCCCCAGAAATAGGGATTGTGGAAAAAGGAAGAGAAGATCAAATCCATTACTTGGATCTACCACAGGGAGAAAAGAATCTGGAGAAACTGACTTTGGCATATACTTTTACATTGAACAGCACACTTCTGTAAGAATTGTTTACTTTTCTCAGGTAGTCCTTCACTGTCTGTAACTTCAATTGGTAATGGTATCTTTATGCACCTGACTTCAAACAATACTGTCCTCCTTAATCTCAACTGTTTAGTTTTTCCTTTGAATGAATTAGTTGTTATTAACCCTCTGGCCACTGTTTCTTAAAGTCACAAGAAATATACTGCTTTTGCTCTGGAGCATGTGCAATTCTATAACAATAGCTTACATAGAAATACCCCTGTTTAGTATTTCTATATCAAACTTGAACTCTGGTATCACTGCAGCATCATCCTTATTAGGAAATAGGTAGCTTTCAGAAATTCTGTGGTCAGTGCAAAAATCAAGGCTTGTTGGCTTGGTTTCAGCATCATGGAAGAAGGCAGGTAGGAGTGATGGTAAGCAACTGAACCTGTTAAACAAGCACTTCATGTGGGTTAATGTACAGTTTAGCATAGCAAAACACTCATACTTCCCTCTTGATAAAGTATCTGTGATGTTCTCCTGTACCTTCCCCATGACTTAGAGAATGCCTTGAAAAATGGGACAAGGGGAGTAGATCTAAAAGCTGGGAGAGACTGGGATTCTAGGGAAGCCTGCTTAAAAAATTACTTTTCAGAGTTTGTGATCTCTTACCACTCAAATCCTTGTGTTGAAGTCTTCAAAGCCTGTTCTTTGTCTGAGACTTTTGGATATAAGGAAGATATTCATAAAATGCTCTTAGCTTCAGGGAGAAGCCTAGGTTTGTTACTGGATAATTCCACTTCTGGCAATTGCTCTGTGGTAACTTCATGTAGAATTCTCTGGACATACTGAAGACTTCTGTAAGCACCTAGCTGCATCCTTACACCTCTCACCTATTCTCTAGGCTCAGCAAAGGAGAGATCTAAATACGCTGCACAAACTAGTTTTTTCAGGTGGTTGTCTAACTCTGCTCTTGGCTGTCATGCTCTGTTTATCACTGTACTACCCTGTTTTCTTGTGAGGCTATGTGAACTGAAAACTTCGTCTTGTAACCATTAGCAATGCCACAGTGCTACTGCATATTACCTTCTGATCCTAGGCCTGAACTAAAAGTCAAGTGACAAATGGCTTCCCCTGAGCTACTGGCATATGCCTTTATAAGGAATCCGATAACACGGAAGATAACCAGGCAGTGTTGTTGCTTATTTAAATGTAAAACCTGAACAGTCTCTTCAATGCATAGATTTATCTTTACTCACACTTTTGAGGTGTTGGATAGTTGAAAGTATTTATTGTTCCAAGTGTAGGGTTTATAACAGTTTTATGAAATAGTGGCTAAAAGTCTAGGTTGTGATAAAGAAAATGTCAAGAAAACTAGTAATTAACAAGTAATTTGGTAGTCTGCAATTTAATTGCATAAATAAGGGTTGAAAACATGAGAATGTAACAAAATAATCTAGTCCATTGCATAAAATAGCAAACAAAAGCTGTTTGATTGCCGATGTAAAAAAATTCTTAGTAAAGTAAAAAAGTAAATATCACATACTAAAGTATAAGGCAAAGTATTCTGATCATGGTTAATAAGGCAATACTACTAGCATTTATGTGCATTTAGCTCTTTTCTTGTGAATTTCTTCAATCTCCTCAAATCTATTCCTTCTGGAAGTCTTATAGGGAAAATGGTTCTTTTAATTATTTTGTCTTTGGAGGTATAAATTTGAGGCACATGGTAATAACATTCTCTTGTGAATGGACAGTAAACTTACAAATTATTCCTATTTCTTTATTAAAAATTCTGGTATGTGTTCTCTCCAGCTTGCCTTATTTATCTGTGGAAAACAAACTGAGATCACTAAGCTGAATTTGGGATCAAGTAAACATTTACATTTTAGAACACAACATTGAAGCTTGAAACTGAAAAAGAACAAGTTCTTCTGTCTGACTGCAATCATTATATTTCAGGCACAGATAGTCTTGCTGGTGATCCTCATACTTGCTATTGGAGACTTTGTCATAGGAACATTTATTCCTTTGGATAGCAAGAAGCCTAAAGGTTTCTTTGGGTATAAAGGTATGTTGGAACACTTAGTATTGTAAACAGTATCTTTGCAAAAAGAAGACATGCTGTCATAATTAAGTTGAATGTCTAAAATAGTCCTACTTAAGTATAGAGGGTTTTTTGTGATTCTTTCAAGCTTCTGCAGTTTTGTTCCTTAAAGCTCTTGGGCCAAAACTTGGTCCTGCCTGCTTGGTACCGATTATGTTTTTAAATTTTAAAAAGATGGTTGATACTGTAAGTACTTTTTCTGATTTTAAAAGCTATCTAAGTTTAGTGTGCTGACTTTTATTTTGAGTTGAAGTAATGAATTAGGACGTAAATGTTTTATGGTTAATTTTAAGAAGGTCACACAGCTGTGACTTCCAGCGGTTTCCTGGGGCTAATAATGTCTGGAATGGGCTAATACTGTAGCCTCTATATGAATATTGATAGACTTAAATATTTTTCTACAGCTGAAATATTTATGGAGAATTTTGGACCAGATTTCCGACAGGAGGAAACTTTCTTTTCGGTATTTGCTATTTTCTTCCCTGCTGCAACCGGCATACTTGCTGGTGCAAATATCTCAGGTGATCTTGCGGTGAGTAGTGAATTGGCAAATACTGTTCACAAACACTGAGTGTACATTTATCTCTGTCATCACTGTCTACTGACATTTTTCTTTCAGGATCCTCAGTCAGCCATACCTAAAGGAACGCTGTTGGCCATCTTAATTACTACATTGGTTTACGTAGGAATTGCAGTATCTGTAGGTAAATAGAGAATGTTTTTAACTTTACCATTTCACATTCACTCTGAGGGTGTGTTCTGATATGGTTTATGTAATTCATTATGTAAAGTCATTTTGTAACTGACTTTCATGCATGGGAAAGTAATAGCCAGAGGTTTCTAATTCTTACTGTTGGAGGTTCAATTTTCAGCTGGTTTTATAATATCCTAGAATGAGTGGTATTTTTTTAAGACTAGGGACTGCCTCAAACTAAAGATGACAAAAGACTTCACATGGATGTTGCCTCATTTGTTGCAGTTATTTATGTTAAAAGATTTACAAATTAGCAGTAGGATAATCCCTGGATTAGAAAAGTGTGTTTTCAGAAAATACTCACTGAACAAACACCTGTATTGGTTTGAAGAATGTGGTAGTCAGCTACTTACCTGAAGTGAATTGTGGTGTGATCAAAGCTCTTTGAGGATGCATGAGCAGTAATTCCCCAGTAGAGGGAGGAGAGTGAGTAGTACCTTCACCTGACCAGCCCCAGCCGACTTTTGGAAATGTTGTCATGTTCAGAAACATTGTCTGTAGTTTTATTTTCATGTGGAAAGAGGAGAAACAATTGTAGCCTGATCTGAGTCTTGCCTAACATCTCTTCCTGGTCTCCCCCACCCCACAGTGGTTTAAAATTCTATGTAGGAGTTGCCTCAGGGTTTGATGCTCTCTGTATCAGTTTTGCTGTAGAGCACCAGTGGTCAACCAGGTTTTTCCCACCCATAAAGTAATTCTGTTACAGTAACAGAAGAACATAAGTTCTTAACATACAATTACAAACTCATGTTCTTAATGTTATCTTGCATGATTTTTGCTTATGATTGGAAATGTTTTTATTTGTGTCACATACATCAGTTTCTGGCAGCAGTAATCAGTTTTCTTATATGAAAGACCTTGCCTTATCTTAGCTGTGCTGCCTTTTGAATGAAATTCTCATTTATAAGAGTACCATGGATCTTACCACTAATGATAGTTCCTTTCCAAAGATACCAATCTTGCTAGTCTGCCTCTTGTTGGCTAGCACTGTACTGTAGCTCTGCCAAATAGTTGCTCTGTAGTGATTGTGCTTTATGCAGCATAACAACCTACACTTAGTTCCTAATTAGACTGACCACATAGACCTCTGCTACCAAATTTGAATACTTTAGAACTTGAACCCACATGAGAGCAAAATGCTCATTAATATTCATTGTTAATGGCATACTTTGATCATCTTTCAAACATGAAAAACCTCATTTTTCATATTGTAAAAGAAACAGTTTGCAAAACCAACTGAGCACAAAAGTGTTTGCATCAGAAATGTCCTGCCTTACTTGCCTCCTATAAATTACACCTAGAATTCTGTAGTTAGAAAAGGGCAGTGCTATATTACACAGTCAGATTGTGGTATGAGTGAAATTTAGCTTTTTTTTTTTTTTGAGTCATTGGATCAGGAGTCATTGGATCAGGAATCAGACAAATATAAATACTTACATTCCTTTCCCCACACATTTATTCCCCACTGTAAGTTTCCAGGGTAGTGACAAGTCATTAAAACTTTGAAGGGGCTAGTAATTGTCATTGAGTAGTCATGTTTGAAGGGGAAGATGATGATCTGAATTTAGCTCAGTATTTGCATGCTCTGTAGTAAGAAAGAGGTTTAAGAATCTGAGTTGAGAAGGCTTAGAAGTGGAAAATTGCTAGTCCTACTGCTAGAGCTAGGCAGTCTAGTTGAAAAAGATAACAGCTGTGAGGAGAAAGCATACAGTTTCATATTTTAGCATGGGACTAATGGAGATGTGCAGGTGGCAGCATGAAGACTGCATAAGCAACTCTTCCATCAAAATTCTTGAAGGACATATTTCAAAGAACAACATGTATTGCTTTAAAAACAAGGGAAGCTCTAATAAAACCCCCAGACTTCTGAGTCGTGTTAAGACATGCTTTCTGTACACAGGGAAGTAGAACTAATTAATGAGAGCCTAACTGTAGCTGCTTGTAGCACCAGAGAAGTTAAGCACTCTCAACTGCAGTCTGAAGGATTCTGGGTAGTATCTCTGTAATTATTGCTGGTTGCATGTAGTTAGGAGATAACTTGATAAAGATCATCTCAGGCTTACAGCATGGCAAAACTTTATTTAACTTCGGCAGGAACATGCTTAAAATGCCTATGAAAAAGTGAAATCCTGTTTTTACAGGAAAGAAGACCTAGAGGTTCTTGGGGAAAATGTTGCCAGAACCTTATAAGTAAATAAAACTTTTATGAATGAGGGTTAAATAAAATGGACTCTTACTTATATCTAAGTATCTTCTGCTGAGAATGAGCCTGCCCACCTGGCTTCTGTTCTGCACTCTCTCATAGTAAGGCTCACATTAAGTTTGTTCATAGTGCCGTGGTCCCTTTATGTTGTATTTTGACTCGCGTGTGTGAAAGACCTGTCAGCCAGTTGGATCTGAACTACGAAAAAAGGAGTGAGGAAGAGGAGGGCTGTGATAGCTACAGTGCACTATTTAATGGGTTGCTCAACTTAATGAGTCTGCCACTGCAATCTATTACCAGCAAAATGTTACCTACAAATAGTTCAACTACTAAGTAGTCACATCCATTATATACTACTTGAATGGCCGGGGCAAATACTTGCTTAGTGGAAGAGAATAAACTTTTTATCATACAGATCTTTTAATCCCATTTAAAACAGAACAACAACAGCAAACCCCAGCCCCTCCACATACCCACAAGAAAAACATAAGACAGGTAATCAATACAGGAAACTCTTACTGAAATTTAACCAATTGGGCCTAATAAGTAACTGAAAAAGAAATCTGAGAAGTGGAAGGATTAAGGAATGTCCACCTACCAGAACCAGGTGTTATTTAGGACTGTTAACCAAGTTCTAACAGCTCAGAAGCAATCTAAGTGTGGTATGGGTATTTAGGAATTAATTTTCCCAATGAAAGAGAGACAAATTACATAGATAACAAGGATTGTTATTGGAGGAAGTTAAACTTAAGCTTGCAACACATCTGTGCCCTCCTTATTTTGCAAGTAATGTAAGTCCTTAGTAGTTAGTCACATGGTTCTGTTCCCAGGACTCCTTGTCATTCAAGTTCCTAGAAGACCCAGTTAAGGGAATTCTATTGGCTACTGCTCTGTAGACTTCACTCTTCTCTTTCCCACTCCTTATTTAATTCCTGTTCCTGGAAATATTTGCTGGTGTCCAAACAATATGCCTACCTCAACTATTAAACTGTAGAATATTAAATAATACCTAAACTGGACTAGTTTTGTCCTTTGTGAGACAAAAAAACCCCTCTGAAGTAGAAGACTTGCAGGCTTTTTAGTACTCTCTAGTGTTTCTTAGTATTTAAATACTAAGTCTTTAAAGACTGAAATACTGTGTCTTCAGCATTTTCTTGACCAGTGAAATTACAAATAATCATAGACAAATTGAAGTCAGCAGTTTAAGTGATAATTATAAAAAAAAAATGTGGTAGGAATGGGACTCTGGCTTTGTTTTTCACCAAAAATCCCAACTTAAAATACCACAGTCACATAGGAGGTGGCTTGTTTCAGTGTTGAAAAATGGCTTGCAACAGGCTTTCATGACAAACGAGTAATCTTTTTGAATGTCTGAGCCATATTAGCTGCAAAAGAAATAACTGCAACATTATGCACACCTGTCTATATGTATCTACATACACTACAAAAATGCATTCTTCTAGAAAAAATGACAAAAACTATAAAATGAAGTTAAAAGAGCTATGTGGAAACTCATGATTCAGAGATACAATATGTTGAGGTAAAATTGTGCTGTTAAACGTTTCTGCAAGTCTATTGACATTGTTTTCCTCTGTGCTAAAACTTTCCTTTTCTTATTAGACTCAGATTTATTCAAAAACTGAGTATCATCTCGGGCAAGAGAGCAGTTAGTTTACTTGTTTGTATTTGTTCTACGTAGTGAAGATGTGCTTAATATTGAAACATACTAAAAATGCCATATTTTAATATTGCTCTGTGAGAATACACTTACACAAAAAGGGAGCTGACCTTGACATGTGTCCTTAAGCTCAGGTTCAGTTGGTTAATGCCTTTTTTTGTGATTGTGTTCACTCTAGGTTCCTGTGTTGTTCGAGATGCCACGGGGAACATTAATAACACCATTGTCACTGAGCTGACAAATTGCACTACTGCAGCTTGCAAATTAAACTATGATTTCTCATCCTGTCAGACGGGTTGTCAATATGGGCTGATGAACAATTTTCAGGTATAAAACTTTCTCCTAAATCTGTTTATTGGTTTTTGTGTTGGTTCTTTTTTTGAATTGCATATTAAGAAAAATCATAGGCTAAAAATACCTAACTCCATAAATAAAAGGTTTATCTGGAATAGTTAGGTGGTACACTCTGGCTATCATGTAGAAGAACAACATAACTATGTCAAGAACTTTTAGGTGTTTATATACAGGTGGTATAAATATTTACTCTTCTGAGTAAACTGCTTAGGTGGTGGGACTGCCACTTGAAACTTTCTCTCTTTAGATGTCTGAATGCCATCATTCAGTGATGTGGATAAAAGTACTTGTTGTTCAATAGTGATGCATAGTAATCATAGGTAGCCTCTGTTAATACCTTGTTCCTTAATTTTTTAAGTTTCTTAGAAAATACACTGACTTTTTAAGCATGTTTTACGTGTCACATTGTCCTCTTTAATGGTAAGAACGTTGTAAATTTTCATAAAACCTGATGCTGCTGTAATTAAAAATCCTCTAGAAGTCATAGGGTAATTCATAGCCTTCAACTTGCACTTCACAGTGTCCATGAACTATTGGTAAGGGTTTGAGACACATCAAGAAAAACTTACTTATTGCTGATTGATTTAGACTTGCTTTGTGGTAATCTGTGCCTAAAATTTTTCTAATAGGTGTACTAAAAGTTGGCTAGAGATTAAGCTGAAATCCACTAATGAAAAAAGTGCCTGACTTGTGGGTTTTGATCAGAAGTAATGTTGTACATGTACTCCTCACATGTACTACTTGTATGTTAGGCTGACAGCCTTACCTGCAAAGCTGGGTGGAAAAACCTATTTTGTACATGCTGAAATAACATTGTAGTGCAGACCATTCTATAACATAAAATACATTTTTATAGTGGAATAATTTGAGTATCTATGTGGTGTTACTTCACTCTGATTTAGATAAAGTCTGGGCTTAGAAACAGTTCACAATTGTTCTTGTGGGAATAATTATTCTGCAAAATCTGATTACTTTCCTAATTTGTTTAAGATTGAAAGAAGCCAGTATATCGTCTAATGTGCAGCTGAGAATAATGTAGAACTGGTTTTGTCTCATTCTATCTTTTTCTTTAAGTCATAATTTTGGTAAGGTTGCTTACCATAAATGTTGCTCATACTTCTAATAGGTTAGTCATTAATGTTCTAGTTTCTTATTATTTGGTCTAAAGAGTACTTCTGTCTCCCCGAATATTCTTGCATCTCTGTGGAAAAATTAGTGGGTTCTGAATAGGAAAAATCACTTTCAAGGCCAGGAGCTGCACAGACAATGCAGTGCCCTGTACGCCCCCCTTTTGTTGGGGTTTTGAAAACTTCATTGTGGAGACTGCACAGCATCTCTGGGCAACCTGCTGCAGTGCTTAGCCACCTTCTCGGTGAGATTTTGTTTCTAATACACAGTTGCACTTTGCCTTGCTGTTTGTTTTTTCTCTCATCCTCACAGCTTTTGCTGTGCGCCTCTGAGAAAAGTCTGATTCTGTCTTCTCAGAAGACATCAGAAGGAAATTGCTTGCATGAGAGGCTGTCTACCTATAGACAAACTGTTGTCCATTTTCCAAGACCATCTTTAGCTTCTGTGGTAGTCAATGCAAATGAATTACAGATTCTCACAGGCTTCAGACATTTCTCTGCTCAGTGTCAGTGATATTTCTGTTTCAAGGCTGTCACCTGGTAGAAGAGTAACATCAGAAACTTGTTTCAGGCTTTGTAGCCTCAGCCTGGAGCTTCCCTGAAATAAGTTATAGCTGTGGGTAATTTAAATGCAGAATTTGGTCAGCTTTGCATGAAAGTTGGAAGTAGCATAAAACTCCATTCCAGAAACAGTGTAAAAATTCTGCTAAAACATTCCTCCTACAAAGGAAGGCAGCTGTAAAACATTTGAAAAAAGTTAGGGGAAGGGGGAGTTGAACAATGCTTTGTCCGTGTTCATTATAAAAATCTAAATTTAAAGAAGCTGCTGCTTGTTTTCATCTGGCATTTTTTTCTGCTCCATAATGGCTGGACCAAAGAACTGAAACTGTAGGAAAAATATGATTCCATTATCCCAAATGTTTCAAATTTAAGAAACTGTCTAAACAGTAAATGCCAAGCAAGCATAATGAGTCTCTTAGCAGCAGTAACTATATATCTATCTCACCACACCAGTGGTAGCAGGACATTTACTAGGTATCTGTCCTTCCAATTCTTTGTGTTCTTTCAAAGATGAAAATTTCAGTGTTAGAGCTAACTGCATATGTGGGCTCCTTGGTTTTGCGGTCATAAGGTTTGGATTACGGTGTGTATGTTGATGGTGGGGGGAAGGGGGTGTGTGTTTAACACCATGGCATACTGGCTCTGCTGGCATTGGTTCCCCTGTTGTTCCCCTAGTTTAGAAGAAGCTAATGTTTCTTACACTGGTAAGCTAAGTCGTAACTTCCTAGCTTTTAAAACAGACAAACATTACTTGCATACATCTTGCTCAGATTTCTCTCAAATTTATAAAACTGAAGTGGTATTCAAAAATAGTGTAAATAAATGGAGGGAAAGGATTGAAAGAGAATGTAAAATCTGAGTAGATTCTAAGAACAAAATTGCAAGAAGTTGATGCAAGTATAGCAAAGTGAAGGCCTTGCAATAACAATGTTTTAAATTGGACAGGAAGAAAAATGATGGAGACTTGTACACAGATTCTCTCTGTAGTCCTTCCAGGGAAGATTGATCAAGCCATCCTTGCAGTGATAGAAAATTTTCATGCTGCTTGCACAAATAGTATTCTATGCTTGTTTGTTATGTTGCTATAGCAAAGGTTTCTTTCTAAAATATTTGTCAGTAAAGCCTTTACACCCTTAACTTCTCTTCTAGAAATACAGTGTAGTGTTATTACAAACTGGCATTTACAACTTTTCTGTTGATTATAAAACTGATTTAAATCTGGGCATAGGAGAGAGAGAGCTTAATGTATGTGTCATTAGTTTTATTCATCTATGAATACAGGCCTGTCCCGCCTGTTTTGTGGTCAACTACACACAGAGTTTGGCAAATTCTGCAATCATTACACTACTATGACAGCTGCTTCATGCTCATCTTATGCCACTGCAATTACTTAATTTCTCTTTTTAGTCAAGACGTGCCTTGAACTGACCAATCAAACCTGATGTCACATGTTCAGTTGCTGGGAGACCCAGCAGCCTTTGTCAGCCTGATCTGGAGAAAAAAGCTAAATTTTATAATTAGTTTAGCCCTAGGAATATGAATAAAACTTAATCGGTCACCTGTATATTGTTTCTGAGGGCATGTCCTACCTAGTTAAGATTGCTTTAGACAGCCAGATTTTACAACTTCAGGTGACAGTAATTTAAAAAACTGGACAATTCTGCAAGATCTTTCTTGCCTTCCTTCGGTCCCTTTCCTTATGCTCTAGATGATGTTGCCAGGATGAAAGAGGCAAGTAACCAGTCCAAATGATACAGAACCTCATTCTGACACATTGTGCTTTAAAGGCATGGTGCTGGGTTTGGTCCATTGCCTAAAAACATAAGCTTTTCCAAGATGGTACCAAATTCTTAAATGCTGTCTGTCCTCAAGTAGCTTATGCTTTTGTTTCATAAAGAAAAGTACTCTATTAAACCATGATTGTTTTTTAAATACGTAGTTCTATATCTTAATTCGCTTGACACGTGCAAAGCTGGATGCAGCTATGGTATGGAAGTAATCAGTAGAATGGTAGAAGAGGGTCTTCAGGCTATATGGCAATTAGAAACTGCTTTGGTTGTAATTTGGGAATTTTTTTATATCTTAGCAACATTGTTCTTTTACAAGTAGCTTACTGAGCATCTATCATTTTGTCAGTCATCCAGTCTACCAAAAATTGCATATCATATTTCACTCACTGGGGTTACAAAGATGTCCTAGGATGTCATCTTGGGGAGCTAGGAAGCAGGTTTGTCCTGCCCTTGTAGCAAATTCCAATGTATTTTTTTTTCTATGACTTATTTGGAATCCTCTTATGAGCGCATGGAGACTTTCGCCATTGATTGTTTTGACCTGAGAATGACATGGTTGGACTATATATTGTGTGAAAAGCCACTTACGTTCTCTGATTTGTCCCTAGTTCATTCATTGATATGAATGCATGATACGCAAGCAACTTTCAAGTGGGAGGGTACACAGTATTTTTTCTTCTATTTGTGTTGCCATCCATTTGTATAGTATACATTGTAATATTCTTTTAAAAAAAAAAAAACTATTTTGCTTTCAGGTCATGAGCATGGTATCAGGATTTGCACCACTGATTTCTGCAGGCATTTTTTCAGCCACCCTGTCTTCTGCATTAGCGTCTCTTGTGAGTGCACCCAAGATCTTCCAGGTAAGTATGGAAGCAAAACCATCATCTTTTAAAGAGTAATTTCAATGAACTTCTGAATCAGAATTTCTGGAAGGGGACTGTGACGTACTGCCAGCATGATTCATACGAGTTGATACTAGTAGATTGATCCAGTATTTACCTGTGGCTTATAATGGGAAAACTGTGTTACTGTTACTAAATGTAGCTAGACTGTAATCTGTTCCAGATCTCATATGTTTCTGGTTAGTTTAGAGGTTAGTTGTGGTGTAGCTGACATTACAGGAACTCACAAACTCCTTTAGATGTTTTTTGTTGTAAGTAACAGTGGAGCACATACAAAGGGAAGAGATTAGTTTATTTCTTAAAGTAATCACAGGAGATAGCATGAAGTAGAACCTGTGGCTGTGGAATCTCATTCCTCAGAGAATGCATTACCAAAATAATTGTGTACCACTTCTCGTGCAAATCCTTTACACTGATTTTGTTGGTGTTCCTGAATGTATTTTGCTTTACTTTCTTTTTAACCATTTAATCTCATTGTTTGTTTTAAAAATTCTCTTTAACTGGGTAAAACTTTAGTGTCCTCTACTTCTTTACCAAAATTTCCATAGGGGGTCAAAAGTAGAAGGGATTTTGCTGCAGAATAGAAGCACAAGTATTGATGCAGAGTAGTAGAGTATATGTTGGGCAAACTTTCCACTTTCTGAGAAAACATAATCTCTAAAGAAAAGATCTTTGTGATTGTAAGAAACCAGTAGTGTAAAATAGTCAATTACTTACAGAAGACCAAAGCTTGTTCTTACAGATAGAAATTACTGAGGGATAGAATATTGGAAATGCAAAATGTCAAGATTCAAAGGCAATTGAAAATAGAATTAGTACATGGTAGCTATAAAAATTCTTTCAGAAAGAAGCAGTGGAAGAGAGCATTAGTAATGATACATTTTGAAAAAAATGCATGCCGACTCTTGAATTCTGTTTTTTCTTAGGCTTTGTGCAAGGACAACATTTATCCAGGATTTCAGATGTTTGCTAAAGGCTACGGGAAGAACAATGAACCACTGAGAGGATATCTTCTAACATTTTTAATTGCTCTTGGATTCATACTAATTGGTTAGTTTGAAATTCTAATAAATCTCAGTATCCTTTTGTCCGTTACAAAGCATTCTACTCCATATCGTGACTTGATGACGGTCTCCTAGAGGTCTAAGGCACAGCTTAATTCTAAGCCAGCATTCTAAATCTGTTTACTTTGAGGGTTACTTTCTCCTATGTTCTAGATAAAACTGTCTAGAACTGCAATAAATTTGCATTGCACTTTTCTTAATAACTGCAGGTATCTGTCCTTAGATAGTATAAATAAATAAAAATACATCTTTTGCTTGAGGTAGAGAGATGTTATATCTTGTAAATATGGGAGTTTTATTTCAGATTTTTAATAATTAAAACAGCTTCAGTAAATGGCAAACTGGCATGAACAACACCTTTTAAAGTGTGTTTTTCTGTTAAGTTACCAACAGTAGAGATGAGTGCTGATGCTGCTGTTCTTAAAGGTAAAGATTAGTCTGGGTAGAGTTAGTGTGTTCTATGCAAAGGGCAAATTAATGGTGCTGTGTCCATCTGTGAGCCTTGTACCAGTGTTTTTAAATTTCTTTTCCCAGTTTACTCTTTCATCATTCCCCCAAATCTGCTTAAGGCACAAGTATACCCATGATGTCTCTACTGCTGCATGCTGACTGGAAGCTTGATTACAAGATGTAGAAAACTGCAGATTAACATGGAACATTCTGCAATTTGATCACTTTTTTTTAATGGTGAAAGTACACACAATAAATGTTTTGTGCCATGCTACTTCCAGGAAAGGAGAGTGTCAGGTTCTTCAATCTCTTTCACTAAAGAGAATCACAGAATGGCAAGGATTAGAAGGGAAGATCATCTAGTCCAACCCTCCCGCTAAAGCCAGGTTCACCTAGAGCATGTTACACAGGACATCGTCCAGGTGGGCTTTGAATATCTCCAGAGAAGGAGACTCCACAACCTCCCTGGGCAGCCTGTTCCACTGCTCTGTCACCCTCAAAGTAAAGACCTTCTTCTGCATATGCAAATGAAACCTCTTATGCTTCAGTTTGTGCCCATTGCTCCTTGTCCTGTCACTGGGCACCTCTGAGAAGAGTCTGGCTCTGTCCTCATGACATCCACCCTTAAGATATTTGTATGTGTTGATGAGATCCTCTCTGTCTTCTCTTCTTCAGGCTGAACATGCCCAGCTCTCTCAGCCTTTCCTCATGGGGGAGATGCTCCAGTCCCCTTATCATCCTAGTTGCTCTCCTCTGGACTCTCTCTAGGAGTTCCTCATCTTTCTTGACCTGAGGAGCCCAGAACTGGACACAGTACTCCAGGTGGGGTCTCACCAGGGCAGAATAGAGGGGGAGGAGAACCTCCCTCGACCTGCTGGCCACACTCCTCTTAATGCACCCCAGGATGCCATTGGCCTTCTTGGCAACAAGGGCCCACTGCTGCCTCATGGTCAGCTTGTCATCCACCAGGACTCTTGGCAGAGCTGCTTCCCAGCACGTCAGCCCCTGGCCTGTACTGGTGCATGGGGTTCAACCTCCCCAGGTGCAACACTTGGCCAGTTTTGCCAGAACTTACTGATGGTACACTCTGTCCACTTGTCCAGGTCATTGATGAACAAGACTGAGCTGAGTACTGAGCCCTGGGGAACTCCACTAGCTACCGGCCTCCAACTGGACTCTGCCCTGCTGATCAGAACCCTCTGAGACCTGCCATTCAGCCAGTTCCCAATCCACCTCACTGTCCACTCATCCAACCCATACTTCTGCTTCCCTATGAGGATGTTATGGGAGACAGTGTCAAAAGCCTTGCTGAAGTCAAGGTAGACCACATCCACTGCTCTCCCCTCATCTAGCCAGCCGGTCATGCCGTCATAGAAGGCTATCAGATTGGTTAGGCATGATTAGTGCCTAAGTGAATCCATGTTGGGGACTCCCAATCACCTTCTTTTCCTCTGCTTGCTTGGAGAGGACACCCAGAATGAGTTGTTCATCACCTTTCCAGGGATGGAGGTGAAACTAAACGGCCTGTAGTTCCCTGGGTCATCCTTCTTGCCCTTTTTGAAGACTGGAGTGACATTGGCTATGCTCCAGTCCTCAGGCACCTCTCCTGTTCTCCAGGACCTTTCATAGATGATGGAGAGTGGCTCATAAATGTCTTCTGGTGAAGACTGAAGCAAAGAAAGCATTCAGTAACTCTGCCTTCTCTGTATCTTAGGGCAACCACTTGGTTCACCAGTGGTCTCACATTTCCCCTAGTCTTCTGTTTGCTGCTGATGTACTTGAAGAAGCCCTTCTTGTTATCCTTGATATCCTTTGCCAGGTGGACCTTGGCCTTTCTAGTTGCTTCCCTGCATGCTCTGGCAGCATTCCTGTATACCTCCAAATGGCCTGACCCCCTTTCCACATTCCATAGAGCTTACTCTTTTCTTTGACTTGTACTAGAAGCTCCTTGGTCATCTGTGCAGGCCTCCTGCCTCGTTTACTTGATTTCTTACTCATGGGGATGCACCAATCCTGAGCATGGAGGAAATGTTGCTTAATAGCAGCCAGCTCTCTTGGACTCCCCTACCTTCAAGAGCCTTAACCCATGGAATTCTTCCAAGCAGGGCCCTGAAGAGGCCAAAGCTAGCTCTCCTGAAGTCCAATGTTGCAGTCCTACTTGTTGATCTGTTTCCACCAAGCAGAATCTGGAATTCCACCATCTCGTGGTCACTGCAGCCAAGGCTGCCCCCTACCTTCACATCCTCAACCAGTTCTTCTTTATTTGTCAGTGCAAGGTCCAGTAGCACTCCACTTCTTGTTGGCTCCTCCACCACCTGGGTCAAAAAGTTATCATCGATGTTCTGTAGGAACCTCCTGGACTGTGCGCAGCTTGCTGTGTAGTCCTTCCAGTTGATATCAAGATTGTTGAAGTCTCCCATGAGAACTAGGGCCTGTGGTTGCTAGGCTACTTTTAGCTGTCTGTAGAAGGCCTCGTCTACTTCCTCATCCTGGTTGGGTGGTCTATAGTAAACACCCACCACAGTGTCACCCATGCTGGCCTGCCCCTTAATTTTTACCCACAAGCGTTCAACTTGTTCTTTATCTGCTCCCAGGTAGAGCTCTACACGTTCCAGTTGCTCCTTGACATAAAGAGCAACTCCACCGCCTTGCCTTGTAGGCCTGTCTTTCCTGAGAAGTACATAGCCATTGATGGCAGCGTTCCAGTCATATGTGTTATCCCACCATATCTCTGTAATTGCGATGAGATCGTGACCACATACAGAAGCTCTTCCTGCTTATTCTCCATGCTGCATGCATTGGTGTAGAGGCATTTCAGTGAGGCAATTGAGCATGTAGGTTTCCCTGGAGGGATGAAAGAGGATCTGCTACTGCCAAGCCCACCTTTAAGGCAGTTGGTCTGCTGGCTCTTAAATTGGGAGGCAGCTATGGCACATTTATTGCTGCTCTGAACAGTCACACTTGTTCCCTTGTTGGATGCGATTGAGTGTCCTAACTGTGTACCCACCATAACAAGTTGGCCAGCCTACTGCCTAGGATTCCTCTGACTCATCTAGAGAGGTGGACCCCATCCCTCCCTAACAGGTTATAGTCATCAGAGAACGCCCCATTGTCACAGAAGCCAAAACCCTCACAACGGCACTCACCATGTAGCCATGAGTTGATATATGTTATGCACCTATTTCTGGCTGCCCCCTTCCCTCAGACTGGTAAAATGGAGGAAAAGATAACTTGGGTCCTAATGTTTTTCACTTGTCCCCCCAAGGCTCAAAAGTCTTCCTTGATTTTACCCAGGTTTCTGCTTTGTGTCATTTGTGCCTACAAGAAATAGTAGTAGTGGGTAGTAGTCCGTTCTCTTGATGAGTTGTGGCACCCTCTCGGCCACATCTTGAACCTTAGCTCCTGGAAGGCAGCATACCTCTCATGACTCCCTATCAGGTCAGCAGATGGGTGCCTCAGTACCCTTCAACACAGAGTCACCTGCTAAGAGCACTTCTTTTTACGGTGTCCACCATGTGTTGCTGGTACAGTTTCCCCTGCAGGGGACTTTGCAGACTTTGCTCACAGGTGTCCTTGGCCGTTAAGGCTTCATACGTTTCTGGTTGAGATGGTGGAGGGTGCAGGCTGATGTGTAGCTGAGGGTGTACTCATCACTGTTACGGCAGTATTGGTCTGTAATAATACACTACACTAGTACCATTGATGTAACTTTTTATTTAAAATGCAGGCAGATGAACACGTTTGTCACATTGCTCACACCAATTTGGCTGCTGTTGCTATTCACCATGGCTGATTGTCTTTTAAACTTATTAGTGTCTTGTTCTTTGCTATTAGAGAATTGAGCTGGAAATGTACTGCAGATGTATTAATCCCCTGTCTACTGTTTCTGGCATTCTTCAGAACCCAGTGTATTGGTGCACTGTTTGATCAAGCCATGGTGGGAAAGAGATTTTCTCAGTGAATTATTTTGAGGAAGCATGTAGTGCTTCAAAAGTGGCAGTCCTGGAACACTTGGTAGTGTGCAAAAATGTTTCTAGTTTTAAAACTGAAAGTGACACTTCCTGATTATTATAAGAGAACTTAGTAAATAAGAGACCATTAAGATAATAGCTCTGTCTGTTGAACAGAAAGGACAAACTGCTTCTCCGTAGAGCATATCAGAAAATAAGGTTATTTGTAGCAGATTTTTTTACTCTGGAAAAAAAAATGATAACTTTCCTAACAGTCTGCTTTGTTTTTGGTTTTACAGCTGAACTGAACGTCATTGCTCCAATTATTTCTAACTTCTTCTTGGCCTCATATGCCTTGATTAACTTCTCTGTATTCCATGCTTCTCTTGCAAAATCTCCAGGTAGGAACTAAATTTTGGAGGGTGAGAGTTTAGCCTGCAGTTTCTTTATGCATAAATACAATTTTAAAAGTTATTAATATAAATGAGTGTTTAATTTATTTCCTAAATATCTATTTGACTCTCATGGTTTATCTGAATTACAAGCATAATATGTTGTGTACTTGGGTCTTCTGGAATTTTGAGGACTGAGTGATCCAGTAGAGCAATTTTCTCATCTTTGCTGAGGAACGCAAGATAATTCAGTGTTTATTCAGAAGCTTCTGAAGAAAGCTTTCTTGCTATTTCAGTATCTGGCATTCACACTTTTGTCTTCTTTGGATTTCTCTGTTAATGTATCTCATCTTCCAGTCCAGAAGAAACTGGAATCACAGGTGGTATTGCCACATCTGCATAGCCTTTTGTGTGGGAGGCTAGTTAGATTGTAGGAATAAGCCAAAACCCAATACTTCTAGAACAGATGTATATCATACCCAGTCCACTATGTATTTGTATTGAAATAATGCCTTTAAAAGCTTCTTGAGTTACTGAATTAGTAGATACCCTTGTTTTGTCAGAGCATGTGCGTAACTCTGTGTACACAAGAGTTCTATGTCTAATACACTTGTTAATCTTGCATGTTTTAGTGGGGGTGTGCATGTGTATTTACCTGATCTTGGATAAACTTGTGACAAATAAAGATGTAAACCAGTGACAGTCCAGTATTGTGACATTCAAGTTCTACTTGGGTATATCTGACCTTTTCCTGTGGTGAAAATTTCTGGCCATGTGAAAATAGTAAAAATACACAAGTAGGAAACAATTAGTAGTATGTGAAAGAGTGAGTCACCAGCTGATGATTCATGTTACATTACCTTTGAAAGCAAAAATCAATTGTCAAGCAAGCTACTGCCAGCGGTTGCTATCCTGTAGCCTGATTTGGTAGACATACTGGCACAAGTACCTTCAAACTATCCTTTTGAGATAAGCTTTCAGAGGGCAAAATTGGGAACATTTACATATCTATGTAAGAAAAATGCAAGTTCATTTGAAAGGTGTTGGGAAATTGAAAGCATAAATATGCCAAAGTCTTTATTTTGTCTGTTACTGAAACTGTCACACATTCACATGAAGTGTGGGGCAGAACACTATGGAAGGAAAAGAGGAATAGTACCTTCCTTCTCCTGGAGTAGTGGTTAAATTAATTTCCCTTCTCTTTTCTGTTCTGTCCTCGAAATTGTATTTTGACTAGGTTGGCGCCCTGCTTTCAAATACTACAATATGTGGATTTCTCTTGTTGGAGCTATTCTGTGCTGCATTGTGATGTTTGTCATTAATTGGTGGGCAGCACTTCTAACATATGTCATAGTCCTTGGACTCTACATTTATGTCACTTACAAGAAACCAGGTATGTATATAGGCTGCTTCTGGTTGCAGTGGGGGGGCAGAGGGGTGTACAAGGGAAAAGTGATAGCCTTTAGGAGAAAAAAGAGAACTTATTTCTGTTTGACTAGTTCAAAATTCAGGGGTTTTAGTTGTAATGAAATCTAATTATGCTTGCATAGTCACTTCTGTTGTTCCCTCTCCTCGCAAATTGTCAAGAGCATGCCTTGCACTTAGACATAAACATTTGAATAAAAATTGGAGGAAAAGGTGCTTATGAAAAGAGCTTGGGTTGCAGCTACAAAGGCACTAGGAAAGGATGTTATGTTTTGATAGGAAGTGGAAGAGGGTGCTCCCTTACCTTTCCAAATTGAAAAGGGATTTGAGTGGTGGTTGTTTCTTCAGGAAACCATTCCTATAACTCTGAACAACAATTTATAAACTTTCTTCCTTATTCTAAGAGCACTGAACCAAAAAGTGTTCCTGAAGTTGAAAATAAGGAAACCCCTACATCCTGGGCTATAAAGATTATGAAGTACTTGAATGATAAATTCATTGTAGCTATCAGAAAATGTATATGGGAAAAAATGAGAGTATACTGGGGTCCTTAATTTCCTTATAAACTAATAATCTAAAAGGAACTTCAATCAGTTTTTCACTTAAAGTATTCGACTTTGTTTAGGCAATGTTTTGAGATTACTTTTTCCTTTGCTGCGGTATAAAATAACTAAGTTGGCATTTTTTCCTGAAGTGTTTTTTTTGACTCTGAAGTTGTCACAGTCTTTGAAATGTTGGGAAAAAACCCTCAATTCTTTCTTCCTGTAATTGTAAAACATCTAACTGTAACTTGTTTGATAAAACTTCTAAGGAAATGTTATCTTTAAATAGCAGTGCCTGATTAGCTGTAGGTTTGTGACTAGTACTGTGTAGACTGTACCAAGATGTAGCTTAAATCTTCTGTGTTTTCACTTGGTGTTCAACATTCACTTTGTGATCATGTAGTTTTACAATGAACAGCTTTAAATAAAATATTGGAACTTCAAATCTCCCAACAGATGTGAACTGGGGATCCTCAACACAAGCTTTGACTTACCTGAATGCACTACAGCATTCTATTCGGCTCTCAGGAGTGGAAGATCACGTGAAAAACTTCAGGTAACAGTTAATATTAAAGACATAGGAAGTTACTTCTATATATTCAGTAGGGTATTGTCACAACGTTTCCTGTCATGGTTTCTGTTAAATGCCTGTTCATGTCCTGTGGGTTATAACAACTTTTAATTTCACCACCCTGGATATCCTCAGGACATATTTACATTAGCATTTTATTTGCGTTTAAGAGTGCAGTTTAGAAGCAAGTCTATGCATGATGCCTGCTTATTACTAAATGCCTCATGGTTTGAATCATGAAGTGTGAATTGCATTCCTCTTTGATGAAACTGAGGAAAATCTTTTTAGTAGGGACAGCTGTGACAGGACAAGGGGTAATGGTTTTAAACTAAAACAGGCTAGGTTTAGACTGGATATAAGGAAGAAATTCTTTACACTGAGGGTGGTGAAACACTGGAACGGGTTGCCCAGAGAGGTAGTGGAGGCCCCATCCCTGGAAACGTTCAAGGCCAGGTTGGACGGGGCTCTGAGCAACCTGATCTAGTTAGCGGTGTCCCTGCTCACTGCAGGGGGGTTGGACTAGATGACCACTAGGGGTCCCTTCCAGTCCAAAAAATTCTACGATTCTGTGATATGCTCCAAACCTCTAATGAGCATTCAGTCCATGTGCTTGAGATACAACTGATCTAACCTAAAATCCCCAAGATGTGTATACTGTGGGTGTTGTCCTCAACACCAGCTATTTCACATTAGACTTACTCTCTCATTGCACTTCAGTAATGGCTGACAGGCTACACAAGTGTTTTTCACACAGCTGAAGAAGAGAACTGATTTGTTGTCTGCCAGCATGGCTACCTAGGAAGGTACTACTCAAGGAGACAGTTTTCTCTCCTATAGTATTTATGCCACTTTTCTGGAATAAGCTATTGTAGAAGAAACATGCTTCAAAAAATGTTAACAAAAAGTATTAACTTAAACTAATTGCTCCAAATAAATAGAATCATAGACTGAACATGACTTTACCATGTGGTCTTGTCCTATTGCCGACTAAACTGACTCATCATAGATCTGGCTGCAAAGTTAGGTCCAATTTCCATGTTACATCAGATTGCTCAGGGCCATATCCAGTCAAGTTTTGAGTTATTTCCAAGGATGGAGGCTCTGTTGGCCTGTCTCTTTTCAAATAGACCAGTTAACCTCCTACATGCTGCCTATGCCCAGTGTTCACACTTAGTCTAGCAAATCTCTGCCATCCCTTACAGCTGTAAGAAGTGTATTATTCTGTTATGCTCAGTGTATTAGCAAGAAAATCTACCTACTAAAATCTTCTGTTGTGTATGAAGGGTGACTTTGTGTACTTAGGGCAGAATTGAATAAGGAGTGAGTTCAGGAAGAGATTGTTAATACAGGTGCCATTCTCTGAGGTTAAGTACAGAATGCAGAACCTGGCAGCAACAGTTTTTCAAAGAAAAGACCTATGGTATTTCCTGTCAATTGGGAAAATACTTCAATTCTGACCCCTACCTTCACTTGGAAGTGACAAAATTTTCTTGAAGTACAGGGTAGGTACTTAACAATGTCTATGTCGCATACATACGGACAGTTGAAATTAGATGTGTCAACCAGTCATGATAGGTACCAGCACAACCTCAAAGATATGACAGTAAAACTAAATTTAAAATTGATTAATATCACTATTATTGGGCTTTCCACTTCCCAACTGAAAAGAGTTGGCTGTTGTAGGTATAAACCACAAAACTTGAAGTTTAGTTATGAAACAGCTCTTCTTTCTGAAGTCCTGAGTCCTAATGTGACATTAAAATCCCCGATTTATTTACAAACACTGTATTACCTATTATATCAAGCTGCATTGTTAACAGGAAAAAACTGTCTATATTCAGAAACTGTTGCTTAGGTCTCAAGAGCAACAATTTTCAAACTTTCCTTAGTGGTAGTCTGTAGGCTGGCTTTAAATAACTTGCAATATCTAACCGTGATTTAACGTTGCAACCTCGCTTCTGTCTGCTGTGAGCCTGGGCTAGGTTGCAAACTTTGGTGTAGAAACAAGCTTTATAGGAAAACTCTTAAATTAACATAGTCTTGTAAAAGTAGATGAGGTTCCTATCTCTCTGGTGACAATTATGTTCTTATGGCCAATATTTGCAAGAAATGTCTTTCTGTTAATAAAAAAAAACCAACGCACAGCTCTAGATGAAATCAATAACAACCGTTTTTTTTGTTCCTCATCTATTCACAATTCTAGACCTCAGTGCTTGATTATGACAGGTGCTCCAAATGCACGTCCAGCTTTGCTTCACCTTGTCCATGCTTTCACCAAAAATGTGGGCTTGATGATCTGTGGCCATGTACATATGGTAAGTGTATTCTATCTCTAAAGTTACCTTGTTTTTGTTTTTTAACCTGTTTGCTTTTTGTTTGAGGTTCTTGTTTGGGGTGTGTGTGTGTGGAGTGTGGTTTTATTTTTTAATTGAAAGCATTGTTAGATATTACGTGCAAAAAGAGACTTACTAGTAGGATCCACTCAGTTATGGGTCATCCCTATTCCTGTTAGGTATACCACAGGGGAAACTTCGCAAAATTAGTACCTTTGATCATTTGATGCTTAAATGCTGAGGAAGATTTGTAGGAGCAAAATAGACATTGGATTACAGCGTGGGTCTCATTTTGTCTTTGTGTCATACATTCTCATGTATTCTCTCACACTTTGGACAGAGCAGTTGGTAAATATGATGCACAGTATACAGCTAGATTTCCTCTCAGTGTTATTGTTTCAAGGAGATTGAGTCCTGTGTAGATTTCATACAAAGCCTTGTCTAAAGTAAACTTTCTTGATCAGTAGATTCATTATCAGTTTAGCCAATAGTTGAAAATTGCTCTTAACCTTTCAAGTAGTTTTTTATTCCTTCAGTTATCAGATTAATTTCATTGGCAGGTGGAACAGTAATGTGAACAGGTATTTGCTTTTTTGTTCCCTTTCTGCCAAGCCCCTACTAGTTCACTGACTTTCCCTGTTTTTTGTCAGGATATGAGGTGTAGGGCTTTTGGGACTTGGGGGTGTGTGAGGGCTGTTCTGCAAGGACATAATTTCAGCAGTTCTTGCTACTTGAAAAAAAATAAATGTATTTCTACAGCAGACCTGTAGAGGTTTGGGGGGGGAGGAAGCAAGCTTCAAGTAACCGTTCTTCAGAATCACGCTTGTCATGAGTTGTCTTAACTGTGATACAAAGTGGCCATCACAGTATGATCTATACCAAAACTTCAGTTAGCTGCCGACAAGCTGTTAGATCTCTGATAAACTTTGGTAAATATGTTTTAGCATATTGGGATTGTGTAGTTTAGATTCATATTTTAAGGCCAAACTTTTTCTGTCACATCACTAAGAATATTTAAGCAAGTGTAATTGCAAAATGCAAAGATTGACTACTGTCCTGTATTCTGCGTTTTGATGTCTAGGAGGAACACAATGATTCATCCTGATGGAAGTAATAAAAAGAAAGTATTTAAACAGGAGATGACTTTGACTGCAACATAAAACTGCAGAGCTGACAGTACTGTGGCAAAGGCGTTCTGATTAGGATTATGTACACACAGAGGCCCACTTGTACAGCTTGAAACAAATACTCCCATAAAGCCCAATATTAAGTCATCTTATATCTGTGTATGTTTCATTACAAAGCCCTTTGCTTTTAAAACTACATTATGCTTTGGAGGATAAGCTTGTGCCACCTACTGGGGAAGTGGGTTGTGCTCTACAGGGACAAGATTGCTAAAGCTTGAGCAACCCTTTCCCTAAAGATGAGGATCTGGTCCACTCTTTGCTGCTGATAATGCCTGGTATTTTATTGGTTTGGGTATTTTTGATAGTGTAGAAGCATGTTTTGAGGTTCTTCAAGTTTGAATTGGATTCTAGCAGTGAAATTTAAAAAAAAAAAAAGTGGGGAGGCTTTATTGTTACTCATACTTATAATTCATGTTCCTTCTCCCTTCTTTATTTTCTTATTTTGAAAGGGTCCTCGGAGACAAGCCATGAAAGAACTGTCAACTGATTTGGCTAAATATCAGCGGTGGCTAATTAAAAACAAGATGAAGGCTTTCTATGCACCAGTGCATGCAGAGGACTTAAGAGATGGAGGACAATACTTAATGCAGGTACACCTCTCTCTTGATTTGGTTTTTTAAATGGAAGTGGTGAAGATGAACATCAAAATTGGAAGTGTTTTTTATACTTTGAAGTATTTTAATTTTGCAAAGTTATCTTAAACCTTTGATTAAACCCACTTTGTTTTCTGCTTAAGAAAATAACAGAACCTTTAGCTGTTTCAATAACATGGTTTTTAAAAAATATCTTTTGTTGTTCTTAGGCTGCTGGTCTGGGCAGAATGAGACCTAACACCCTTGTTGTTGGATTTAAGAAAAACTGGAGACAAAGTGACATGAGAGATGTTGAAACCTATATCAATTTATTCCAGTAAGTAGAAAATGCAGAGGTGTAGCTCTGGTTCCATTTCAGTATGTTTGGTAGTAAGTCAAGAAGATCTTAGTTGCATGAAATCTCTTTTGGGTAGACTAAGATTTTTCCATATTGCTGATCCAGCAGTCGTCAATACCTTGTGGTTTTTTTTTTTTCTGATACAGAAATTAATAAGCAAGTGTTGAACAGATAGTTTGAACAGATTAGATTTCTATGTAATAACTCTTTCTGTGTCTACAAAGAGCTGTCAGTGGACTGAGGTTTACAAGTTACTGTCTTTAGAGATAGAACTAGTGTCTTATGTGCTGGTCTGCTGAATTCTTTTAAAGCATTCTTTAAAGCTTTCTGTTGAAAGCAGGGGTTTTCCTACACTACATCTGTACAGACTAAGTGTAGTAGAGGATGAATCAACCCTTATCCTGAAATTGTATCTTCATTAAACCTTGCTGTCATATACAAGACCAGTTCTGGCTGAAAAATTGAATAGAATAACTTGTGCTACAAACACTTTAAGAGAACCAAAACTGGTTTCTTGCACTTACACAGAGGGTTGTTTTCCTTACGTGCTGCTTAACCCACTTCATCTGTGCTTTACACTTAATCATTTACTGTGCATTTAAAAGAAAGAGAGTATGGGGAATTACAGGCAGAGATTAGCAAAGGAAAAAATCATACCCTCCCAGTTCCTTAAGAAAAAAGCAGGAGCATGAAATGCAATGAAAAATAATGAAACTCATTGGTTAGTTCTTTTGTTTTTCTTTTTTCCTATTTTATTTTGGAATGGCTTGTCCTGGAAGATACGTCAAGGCCAACAAGTCATGTGGTTCTCCACATCCTAAAATAGAAACCTCAGGAGGTAATAGGTCAAGCATATTTCTGGAAAATCTCTGGAAAATTGAAAGTTTCTGAAGCACACAATAAACACATCTAATCTGTACAGAAATAAAAAATTGAATAATGAATTTAAAAATGTTCACTAATGGAAAAAACATTTTATTCTTAAATCAATCTCAATTTTTCTTGCATTTATTATATAATATGTTGATACTTCGAACATTCCTAATCGAGTCTTCAACTTCTAAAGAGAAGTGCTTAATGAGTGAAATCTTGGGAAAATTCTGTCTGTGGAAATGACATGGGAGGGAGTTCTCTGATTTATGGTTGTTTGCAATGAAGTATATCAAAAGGACTGATGATTAATGTCTAATGCAAACTGTATGATCCGGTTAAGTTCATATTTTTCTGTCTTGGGGGTTTTTTTGTCCTTCATTTTACTCCACTTTTACTCAGCCATTTATTCAGGCTTTTTTCTTTTTTTCTACAATAAAGAAGTTTTCCATCTTTATTTTTTAATGGAGCAAGTTCTTTCTCCATCAGATATAATGGGAATAGGCACATAATAGCTAGCTTATAGTTAATTTGATTCTGAATTGCAACTTCATAGGTGTTTTTAATATCCAAATGTTTTGGAAATATGTCAGAAATGTTTAGTTGTCAGATCAAGGAGGTCTACTCAAAATAAAACCCTTTATTGGTGGGGGAGATAAAAATTTAGATTTCTCAGTGTATCTTGTCATCATCTGTGCAGAATCACTGTTTATGTAGGGAAGAGACGGTGGAGAGGGGAATAGAAACCCTTTCTATGTGTTGCTTTTCAGGATGTGGTGTTCAGTTCACTGATGTAGCTGATAGTTTGGAATTGAAACTGAAATTGGAACACAGGTTTATGTTTTGGCGGTTTAAATGGCAGTGTTTAATCACTGGAATTTCTTCAAAGAGGGTGTGCAAAGTAGGCCCTTTGGGAAAGAAGAAGTTGTAAAATATTTAATTTTGTTCCCTCTGTTTAGTGATGCCTTTGACGTTCAGTATGGTGTAGTTGTAATCCGCCTAAAGGAGGGCCTGGACATTTCTCACCTTCAAGGCCAAGGTAAGATTTATTTTGTTTCATCTGGTGAATAGCTGTTCTAATTCCCTTTTAATACTGCTTTCTGAAATTATTAAATGAAGATAAGTTATTAAAAAAAAAAAAACAACAACGAACCAAAACATGACTCTTTTCACAGAAAATCACTGAAATTGGCAAGTCTGAAATGTAAAATAAGAACACCCCTTGTTTAGGAGCGGAAATTTGTTTTCTGTGTGTTTCAGCTTTCTGTATTTGTAAGCTGTAGGTAGTTGCTTCCCAAGTATTTACTGTTTTACTGAAACAAATTAAAGAGGTTGCCAGGTTGGTATCAAGTATTTGGGACCTAAGTCTAGAAATCATGAACATAACAACAAATGTTGCACGATCCAAGAATGCTGTGGGTCTGGTGTGGGTTGCCAACCTCTACACCCACTTGTTTAGAGATCTCAGCAGTAGTCTGTCTCAAGTTTAGAAAGGTTTTCTATTTTCAATATAGAAGACTTGGTTATGCTTTGTAGGTAGTATTCTTAGGCTGAGTGGTAGAATTTCAGTTAAATTTCAAGCAGAATAATGAAGGAAGCATGTGAGTTTTAATGGCAACTGCCTACAGAATTGATAATGTCTTAATTTGTTTGTAGCTTGCTCCATATAACATTGCTACAATGAGGAAGAATGCTTGTGGCACAAGCTCTGTAAGGAGGCATCCTCCTGAAAGAGGGGAGGGTTGTTCCTTTACTGGGAACATACAAATGTCTTAGGATTTGGAGAGGGGCAGAGAGCGTGTCACTGTGTGCAAGAGGGCAGAGTGTGAGAAACAGCAAAGGAGTGAACCTGCAGTGTGAAAACCGCACTGCCTTAACTCTGACAGCTACCAAGTAGCTCTACTGAAGCCAAACCTGGCAAAAAAACTTGGCTGTGAGATACACTTGGTCTGGGCCTTGTCTAAGGCTCATCTTCCTCTTGGAGTTTGAGCGGAAATGGAAGATGTTTCCCCAAGTAATTTTTTTTTTTTCCTGGTTGTACTTCCTCAGCATTAGCTGGGTCTATTTTAAGTTTAACCTGTGGTAATGCAATCAATATCCAAAATCTGGGAAGGACGTAGCAAGAAATTACAGCTCTGCTCAGAGGAGGAGCCTCTCTGTACTCTGAAGCAGCTCATGCAAGATTTTTTTGTTGCTGTTTTCTGCCCTTTTTTTTTCTTCTGTTTGCCATAGCATAACAGTTACAGTAGAGTTCAACCAACTGTGAACCATCTCAGTATAGTCATATACCTCTATGGATTTGGAACAATTATGTGGTTTATAATGTGTTTTTTTGCTTTCCTAAAGAAGAGTTACTGTCATCCCAAGAAAAATCTCCATGTACCAAGGATGTCATAGTGAAAGTGGATTATAGCAAGAAGGCTGAGACAGACACTTCTATAGCTTTTGCTCGATCATCTGGTGAAAGAACTCCCACTCTACATAAAGGTAACCTGCTAGTTAGCAATGAAATTTGAGTTCTCACTCTTTCTCTCATTCCCTCTTCAGTTCTTCTCTCCCCTCACCATGGAATTTAAGAGATTTTTGTGTGTGTGTAACCAAAGCGTCTTGTGCTTTTCTAGCCATTGATATCTAATCACTTAAGTACTTCGATTTAGAGCTTACCAGTAGGTAAAACAAATATTTCACACCTAGTCTCATAAATAAACAGGTGGTAGACAATGACCTACAATAGATTTTCGTTGTTAATGAGTTTGACAGGCATTAAAAATTGCTTGAGAATTGTGCCACGCATCTGTATATTGTGACTTGAAGACTGCTAAAGTTATGAAGTTTTTTTCACTTCAGTCTAGAATATTATATGCGTGTTGACAGATACAAATCATTCAGGGTACTCTGACATGACAGTAACCAACATTCCTTTTCCTTTTAAAGTAAAAGCTTGGAGTGACTTAATAGTTTTAAGTGAGCAATGTGATTTGTTGTTTTTTTTTTTTTTTTTAAGTACAAATAAATTTCAGGATCTGGTAAACAGCATTTGTGTACTTTTCTTTGTATGAAAATCCATTTCATTCTACATCTTTATTTTCTAATTTTTTTTATATACACTAGTAGTGTTTTCATTAACATCACAAAGGAATTTAACCTTTTTATTTTGTATCTTTAAAAATCTTCCAGAGGAGGACGAGGATGGAAAGACTCCAACACAACCACTGTTGAAAAAAGGCAGGCATTTTCCACCTTTTTGTGTTAAGTCATTCTTTTGCATTGTTAATTTCAGTTTTCCTTTTGTACTCCTTTCTACACATATATATGAGAGAGAGGAAAACATCAGCCATGCAGTGTTGATTTGTTTCTTCATATCTGCTTTGGGATGTACTTCATCTTTAGGGATTAGGCTACGGAAAAATGCAACTTTGTGGAAATACCCAGAACAAGTTGCTACTCAGAAAGGATTGTGCATGTGTCTAAGATATGAATGTTGGATATATATGTATTTTTTTAAAATTTTGTTTTTAACTAACCTCTAAAATGTGTTCAGGAGCTTGCTTAGTTCTTTGTGTCTCAGGTATCTGTCTCAGTCCTTACTTGATTTAGGATTAATAGGTACAGCAGAAGTGCTCCATCAGTCTATTCAGTAGATCCTCTAAAGCCGTATTTGTTGATGTGTTCTTTGGAATTGTTCAATAGCTTGCAAATTAAGGTATAATATAGCCACTCGATGAGATTAACATCTGAAATAATGCAAAGCAGTCATTCAAATAAATTGCATTTTGGGAGATAAATTGAGTAGTTTTCACTGCCTGGTTTATTTCAGATTTTTTTTGAGTCTGACTATTTTTGCCTTAACTAAGATTCGTCTACTTTTTTGACATCTTCCTCATCATTTCAACAGCTAGAAGCTGTTGTGTTTTAATAACGGAAAGTGAGATTACATCCTGAAGCACAAGATGGCAGTTTGGAAGAAGTCCCAGTGTGCAGTAAATTGGTATATTAACGTAAATAAGTCACAGATGTACTGTAAATTTAAAAATTCCTAATCAAGTAAGGACTGAGATAAGTATCAAACTCCTGGCTCTTGTTCAAACTGAGGTTTTAACTAAGGGAAAGGGTTTAGTTTTTTTCTATAGTTTTAAACAAGTATATTTACCTGTATTAATCTAATTGAAAATGCCATTGTTGTCTTGCTCTCAGCAAATCCAGTAACTTTGTTACACAAAATAGTCTATATTGTGCTTCAGAGCCTTGCACATGCAAACTTGTTCTTGTGGCGAAAGATTAGAATTCCAATATGCAGAACTAGCTTTTATTTTCATCACATGCTTAAAGAAAAATGGATTTAAGGAAAGAAGAAACATGCTTAGGACATGGTATTTACTTGTAAATTAGCATGTACGTGTTTTTAGGGAAGTCTTGTCACGTGCAAGAGGTAGAAACAGTGTGTGACGTAATGCTGTGAAGTATCTATGCAAGGTTAGTTAAATTGTACAGGCAAATGACGGTATAAAGATCTTACAGATCCTTTATTTGTCAAACGTCTGCTAAATGACTTTGAGATTTGAATCTTCAACTGCTGAAGTAACGAGTTTGCAGACTCCCTAAATATACCTCAGTGTATTCAATCAAAATTTGGGGTTGGGTTGGGGGGAAGAAACAGATTTTATTTAAACTTAGAGACGTCATAAAATATCAAGAAGTTGCATTTGGTTAATTTCAGGGTGATGAAGCAAAACACTTCAAAAATGAAATTTCATCACACTTTTTTCCAGATTCAAAGGGCCCATCTTCTCCTTTAAACTTGGCTGACCAAAGACTTCTTGATGCTAGTACTCAGTTTCAGAAGAAACAAGGCAAAAGCAATATTGATGTCTGGTGGCTCTTCGATGATGGAGGTAATGTGCTTTATACTTTAGAAACAAATTTAGGAAAAAAAATTATTGAAGTAATTTTGAATTAATTGTTAATAGATATCTTTTAGTCAGTTCATACATAGATTACAAATTTGTACTATTAAAGTCTTAACATGGTGCTGTGTTTTCTGAATCATTCCCAAATTCTGGCCAAAATGCAGGTTTGACGCTGTTGATTCCATATCTTATCACAACCAAGAAGAAGTGGAAAGATTGTAAGATCAGAGTATTCATTGGTGGAAAAATAAACAGGATTGATCATGACAGAAGAGCGTAAGATTACCTTTAAAAATTCCATTTCAAATGCTAATTGAGCATGCTATACAGTAGATGAATTCCTCTTCCTAGTAGCCTTCTTTCAGTTGTTCTTTAGTTGAGGTGTAGTCAGTACATATCTATTCATATTCTATTTCCTTTCTCCAAAAGAAGTTCCATTTCCCCCAGATGGTTTTAGATGAGATACCTCAAGTTAAACTAATTTTTCTGCAGTGTTGTCCGACACTAATATTTTCAAATATTGTTTGGGGTTGTCTTTAAGGGAGAGATCTTCTGTTAGTTCTATGGTTTTAAAATATCTTATGTTTCCAAAGCATGTTGTTCATTTATAGCTGTATGCCAGGTCGATTTGATCCCTGCCCCCCCATCACATTTAAGTTGTTTTTTTTTCTCTTAAACTACTCTTTTTATTACCAAACACCTATCTGTTTACCCTGTGAAATAATTAAAAAACTGATCCTGCATAAAGGCTTGTTTTTCTCTTACAGGATGGCTACTTTGCTCAGCAAATTTCGGATAGACTTCTCGGACATTATGGTTCTTGGAGATATTAATACTAAGCCAAAGAAAGAAAAGTAAGTCTCAAAAAAAACGAACTTGATTGTTGAATTCTTGATGTCCTTCATGAATTTAGAATACTTCATTCTTTCCTACATAACAGTTTTGATAGAGTAGTTCCCATGGCATCCAGTGTTTCACAAAAGTGCAGGAAATAAATTAAGCAATAGCTCCTAAGTCCAAGAACATAGAATTTTGTATTTTTTAAATCTCTGGCCCTTAGACTGTAATATTAAATTTAGAAAAAACACAGTTTAAAAAATCCCAATTTCTCTGGAGCAACCTTCTTTAAAAGGAGAAATCCTCAAAAAAACTTAATGTTGTTCATCTTAGTTTAATGTAACAAAGCTTAGTCATCAAAGAGCTTGATGTATTTTTTTTTTAATTGCTTGGACTTTTAGTTTACACAGGAATTATTATACATGTGGTATTTCTGATTTTCAAGTTTAAAAAATATTAATTGTAGATGGCTTTCAGTACAAACTTACACCAGAACATGGAAGATCTAGAATATTATCCTCTTTTCCCTTCAAGTCGTCTTTAGTATGTTGAAGCTATAAAAATAGCTTTTACATGGATACGCGTGTATCTGAATGATTTGATGTCATGCAAATCAGGAAATATTGTTTTATAACTTGGTAAAGTGGTAAATGCGGATATGCGTTCTTGTATACCCTGCTTTTTAATCGTCTTTTCTTAAATGTATAAAATCTATCAAGCAACTAAAACGGTACAGTACTTCTGGCACTGCGATGCTTTTGGATGTCTTTGCTCCTGGGAGCCTGCTACTGTAAAATGTCTCAACTTAAAGGTAGCACGAATTTATGCGTAAAGAGTTGAGACTGTAGAATTATATGGAATTATTTTTATTTCATACAAGTGATCCATGAGTTATTTCTTCTGAGAGCCTTTTTTCTATCTCTGTGGATACATTCCCCACAATATATCCAAAACCTTTCTAAGATACCAGTTGGCATTAACAATAGCTGTAAACTATTGGAGGAAGATGATTTATTTTTAACAGTTGCTCTCCTGTATAATAGAATATTATTGACACTTCTCCTTTTTGTTCAACCAAAAATTAGCAGATCGCATTTGTTTTTTCCCTTTTGATGAAGGTGAAGTCATTGTATCATTGAACTTCAGTAAACACCACCAAGGGTAGAAAAAAAAAGATGTTTTTTTAGTAGTGTGGGGGTTTCCTGGAGGAACAGGAACACCTCAGTTGGAAAATGGGCATGGGAGGAGTGTTTAACTGTATGGAAGCTAACACGTTACCAATACTGATATTACAATATATCCTAAGAGGTATTCCTTAATGTTTGTTAAACTTTCCACACTGCAATTTGGAACCGCAGAACATTGGCAATGCCTTGTCATCTTTTTGAAAATAATTCAAATAACATCAAAATGCAGTTATTTCATTGGATGTAAGGCACAAATTTCAGTGTGTTCCACTAAAAATCTTGTGTATTTTTCTCACATCTCACATGCTAGGGCTATTCAAAAGAAGTTACTTTCATAACTTGTGGCAGCCTTTGTTTGGTGTTCAAGTATACTAATGTGGGTAGAGAAAGTAGGGTAATGCAAGTTGTTCTTTCTACTAGAAATGAATGCCTCTTTGGTCTTCAGAAGGTTTTCTTTCAAAGTTCTTGCTAAAGTTAAAGTAAATTCAAAGGAACACCTCATATTCTAACAAGTGCAACAGGAAGGCTAAACAAGATGGCTGTGGTTATTTGCACTTGAATGTGGCTCCCAGACTGTATTGGAAAGATTAAAAACAAGCAAAATTAAAATATCAAAGCCAAAATCCTAATGGCACTACCATGAGACTTGATAGCTATTTTTTTTGCATGACGTGTAAACTTGTCTCTTTCAAATTTAGTTCTGAATAAGCTACTGTTAGTTACTATACATTTTCTAAGGTAGTACTCTTCAACTTCCAAACAATTGTAGTAGAACTCCAGAAAAAGTTTTTTCTTTTCAAACTGGCTAAAACTTTATAATTAGTTGCATGATGAACAGTGCAAGCTCCTACAGATGTCCCTAATTGTTCACTGAATATCTGCATAAACGAATCAGTGATTTGATGTTCTAACTGCAATAGGCATTGAAAAAATTTCAGTTAACTTTATTTTTACATGGTAATAAAACTTACTTTCTGAAAATCATTGCTGACATAAAGACTCATATCTGTTTTAATATGGCTGTTCACGTAATTGTTACAGTATTGCAGCTTTTGAAGAAATGATTGAGCCCTTCCGACTTCATGAAGATGATAAAGAACAAGAAGTTGCAGATAAAATGAAGGAGGATGAACCATGGAGGATAACAGATAATGAACTTGAGCTTTACAAAACAAAGGTTCTGTATTCTTAAGTGTTATGTTAATCATTGATCAACTTCTCCTACTGCATTTGTGGGTGTGATATGAATGAGTTCATTCTTATTATTCTCTCTCTTCCATACCTGTTTTTACAAATAGCTGATGGAAAGCAGCATCTAAAACCATTTATGTGGTTCACCAAAAAAAAAAAGTAAAAAAAAAAAGTTTCTGCATTCAGGTGGTGGGGTAAACTGCTTTCCTACAGTATTTCAACAGTTAATTAGAATAATGTAGTCTATATTCAACTGTTTGACCTTTTTTTTTTTTACCAAACTAACATTTTTTTGCTTCATTATTAAAGAAAAACACCCCACACCACATCTAATTGTGGTGTTACAGAGCAATTAAAGGTTTGACATTTTTCCCAAGCAGTTGTGCACTATAGAAACATCAGAGGTATTCCTTCTCGATTGCTTCTATGGAGGAGTCTCAGGTAGCATCCTACAAAAGGATGCGGATACAGTCAAGTTTCTAAAGAAAGTCTGGGTAAAATTTTAAGTGATCTGAAGTTCTTCAAGATAGTCCTGAGTATATTCCACCTGTATCTTTTTTTTTTCCCCATCTGGGTTTTTACAAACTTCCATGAGGATTTGTAGCAGAGAAGAAATGGGAATGGTAGGTCATTCTGCATTGTAAGTTAACAGGTAGGTACAGATTGACTGGCAGCTGCTCTTAACTGCATATTACCAAGGGGCTGGGGGGGAAGATTTTATAAAGTACAGTTACCTTATAGTTAATGAACTGCTTGATGTCTTGCTGTTCCTCATGTCTACAAACACTGACAAAACTCATTTCAATGAGATAACCCAAGTGACTTACTCTTTTGTCTGCTGATAGCTTAATTGTTTCTGCAGACACTAGTCTGCAGGCTAACTAGACTTCAGCTCATCTGAGAACAACAGAACTATAAGAAATGGTTAATTCAGAATGTCTGCTGGACAGTTAGTAGACATAAAAGAGAACTGCAAATTACTGAGGAAGGTACTTCAGATGGTAAGACAGAATAGCGAGTAGAAAAAGGTGGGCCCATTATGGAGGTAGGCTTACCAGACAAAGATGGGGCTTCACTTCTGTAAGACCTGCTCGCTGTCAGCTTATAGGATATATTTAAAAGAATCTTGAAGAGAGCAAAAGGGGCTCTTGCTTCCAGGAGCTATGGAGGGTGGCATCATTATTAGAAGAACTATCTGAAATGTAGCTTTCATAGTACTTGGCTCATTTGCATATTTTAAGCTTACTGCTTTCTTCTCTCCCAGCCTTGCAACCATAGGTATTTTAGAAAAGTGAACAAGTTGCCAAACTGAGGTGGAAGTAACCTGCTTTCTATAAATGACTCATACCAATTCATCATAACTGTTTTTCATTTTTCTTGAATAAACGAACTTTTTGTAAAAGATCTTCCTAACAAGTTTCATTTTAATTACAGACTTACCGCCAGATTAGGCTAAATGAGTTGCTGAAGGAACATTCAAGTACAGCTAACATAATTGTCATGTAAGTAAATTATTTGTACCATTATCCCAATTGATACAGAACTGTAATGTGAAATATAAATATATGTAAATACATATAGCATGTTAGGAAAAAGCCTGTGCCGTGGCATTAAAGTATAGAAATACTCAAGGAGGTTTCAGTGCTGAAAGTATTTATTAGAAGCATGGAGCTACTATACTGACGAGTGAAAAATGCCCTGTGTAGTTTCATGTTTTGGATGCACTGTTTTAAGTGATTACCTCTGTATTTTTAGTGCAGCTCAGGATTCTCACATTCTTTCCTCTCTTGCATGCCAACTATTCCCCTCTCTTCCAGGTCCTTCCTTTCAGTTCTTCTTGTAGGAAATCTCTCTAGATAATGTTAAATCATCATCCTGCTGACGTACTTCCATGGAATTACTTTTGGTGTAAACAAGCAGAATGCAGATCGTAGGTTTCTTCACTGTGTTTTTTGTTTAGGAGCCTGCTTTAGAGCTCCATGAAGTAGGTCTATAGTTTGAGTAGGGCAAACAGAGTAGTTTTTTCAATAGAAAAGAGTATGGCATGTTCTGGAAGGATTGTGAGAAAGAATGAGACTGCACCAACCTGGCATCAAAAGAAAAAGCTGTATTTTAAAATCTTTAAGAGTTTTTCAAGAAACTGTCTCCAACCGAGGAGAACTCTCCATGAAGCTACCTGAATACAAAACAGTGGTAAGAGGCTAGAAGTGAGGGATAAATAGATGTAAAGGCCTGTGGTGCTTAAGATTCAAACTCAACTCATTAACTGAATTCTCATGAAAAGAACAAAAACTAAAAAGGCTAGGAATTTTGACTTAATATCTACCTCTTTTCAGAATAATTCTTTCATATTTATAAGATACGACTTGCAGTCCACCAGGTTTTACTAACTGTTGCTTTTTTTCTTTCTGAATTGTAGGAGTTTGCCAGTTGCACGAAAAGGTGCAGTTTCCAGTGCGCTGTACATGGCCTGGTTAGAAGCTCTTTCTAAAGATCTGCCACCAATCCTCCTTGTCCGTGGGAATCATCAGAGCGTTCTTACCTTTTATTCCTAAGAGTACTGCACATGGGACAGCTATGGTGAAATGGTACTTCAGTGCCCAGGGCAGAGTGACTGACATGGTCTGTAGTTTATTAACATCACAAAGGCAAAAAGTGACTCTTCTTTCACTATTTCACTGACTTGAAAGCACACAAGGAAAGTCACTGTATTTCTAAAGTTGTGACATCTTCAGTTTTATTCTATATTTTCTGTAATTTAATCTTGCTTAATGGGGGAGGATTCCTTGTTAGACTGAAGAACAAGACAAGCTTTTTGTTTGCTATTTGAATAGCAGCAATAAAATGTTTTATTTTTGATCAATGAAAGGATTATAGATTTATAAAAGCCTTTTAGCCTTGAGGTGCCTTCTGAAATTAACCAAATCTCATCCATACATCCTATTTTGTAAATTTATATAGAATGTCAAAATCTGCCTTCAACTAAAGAGTTTAGATCAGACTTCCTTTAGTTTCTAGTCTCTTCCATATTACAATAAAAATGAATGCTGCTTTTCAGTCTTCCATTGAGCTATTAGTTCTTAGTACTGTATGTTTTCTATTGTCAGAAAGTTTTTGGTTTTTTATTATTATATCTGTTAGATTTAAAGGTGAGAATTGGGGCAGGTCAGTTGAACTAAAACAAATTCCTCATGTTCTTGTCAAGAACCCATGCTACTAAATTTTGTTAACCATTAAAACTAATTCTGTTAGGAGAGAAGATGCTTTTCTGAAATGTGACATGTACTACTTTGGCACTAGTCTGAGATACACGGCTAACATCAGCTACCTTGGCGAAGGACACTGGTCAGTCTTTGCTCTGTAGCTCTAATATGGAACTGAATTCATCTTGCTGGCTGAGGCTTTTTATCTTATCCCAAATTAGAGGAAAATAAAAAGACCTGTCCTAGTTCTTGGCCTATTATGTTTTGGTGTCACTTTCAACTTACTTTGAAACAAAACTCAGCTTAAGGCTTGAATGGGGATAATATAAGCAATGTGATGCTATCTAACAGAAAACAGTAAACACTATGTGGAATCTTGCTATCCAATATGAAATGTAAAAGCTACAGTTCTCTCGCATTTTTCAACAAATGGTTAAAAGGACCACTAGTTACTAGGGGAGATGTTTTTAGGTCAATTCATTCAGTTATCGGAAAATACATTTAGTCTTACTAAATAATACTCAGGTTTGATCGTCTAGCAATTTAGATCTATTCCATACATCCTACTTTATACATTTTCTATGTTCAATAAAGAAACTGCCAATCTTGTGTGCCCTTTCATTGTATATTTTGAAAACTTCATAATTTAGGCTACTATGAACATCTACACAAGAAATTTCACTTGAGCCTTTGTATAAAGGTTAGTAATGTGAACTGTTTTTTAAATTCCTAATATATTTTGGATAGAAAGGATTGCCTAAAAACATTTCACGAGCTTTTGATATTAGCATTGGACATGCTACTGGATCCGTTTACCAGTGGTTGAGTGACTTTCATTTAAGGATGCACAGAAAAGGTGTATTTTTATGCTAAGTACAAGATAAAATTGAAATGTAACTGCTCCTTTTGAAGGACAAAGCATAATCATTGTGTGGCAAAGTAGAGCTTCAAGTTTCAATTAAAGAAAAAAAATATTAAACACAGTGCAGTATACACTGTTGTCAAGTTCTTGGTAAACAGCAAAAAAATCTTTTTGCTGTTTCTGGAAGTTGGATTGGAGACTATTGAATCATTTCACTTCAAAAAAAAAAAAAAAAAAAAAGAAAAACAAACATGCATGTTTTGCTGCTAAGTGTGAGATAACTGATGCCAGCATGAACCCAGCTTGTTATGATAAACATTGTAAGACAAGACAGTTTGCAGTAAAAGTGCTGTTTCCTTCCAGGTGAGGGGGTGGGGGTCAAACTTACCAACGTATCTATCACAGGTTTTACAGTGTCTTTTAGGGGATAAGGCTGTCACATTGTGAATATGGAATCATTGCCATGTTTCTTCTTGTTTTGTGGGTTACATTCTTTTGAACAGATGGACAGTAAGGCATGGACTTAGTGCTGCTATCTTAAAAAAAAAAATTAAAATGTGCACAGGTACACTTATTTAAAAGGTTTTTTGCCCATTCAGGAAACCATTGCTTGTGATCTGTAACACAGAAACCAAATGAAGTGTGTGTATACATGCATATATGTGTATAAAATTCTATAAAATATATCTAAATATGCATATGGGGATAGTTAAGGTAATGTCTGTGAAATAACGTAGGATGCTTTCCACATGCACTCTCAGAAGTCCGCTAACGCTAGGCACGAGGTCAAGTTTCAAGTTTATTCGCTACACTAAAATTTCAACAGTTAGTGGTAGTTGTTTGCAACAGATGTCAGTTAGTGGCAGTCACTCCAACTTCTGCTTTGATTTTTTGACACCAAATTTAGTTACGTTCCAATCATTATTAGTTACTTGAAAAATGAAATCACTTACACATGGCAATTCATACCTTCTATAGATTAGGTTTCTTCGTATGGGTTTAGAAAGACAGTAATAGCTGGAGAAAATCAATTATTTATTTGTTCACTTATATTTGTATTTAGGTTTCCTTTTACATACATTCTTTTTATATGCTTTTTCTGCCATTACATATTTAAAAATAACTGAAAATAATTTAAAGATTTGAACGGTAGTGGGTACTGGCCCACTTGGTTTGAAGATGTAAGATTTGATACTGTACTGTAACTGTCACACACAAATGCTTTTCTAATGTTTTAACGTAATTATTGCAGTTAATACTTTGTACCAGGGGGATGTCACTGCAATAAAAGGAAGTGAATTCAATACAACCATCTTGTCTAACAAAGCCTTGTTTTATTGGTGGGGGATAAGGAATAATACTCGTAGTTTAACAGATCAATGCTGAAAATAGTTGATGATATGTGAATATGCGTATTGCATGCATCTGCAACCTTTGTTGCGGAGTTAGCATAGGACCATAAGTAGAACTTAAAGCCATTCAGGTGTCTGGTACAAGGAGACAAGTGCTCTGTTCTTGGGGGAGAATGTTTGCTGCCACTGGTTTAGGAACAGCGGTGGTTGCGTAAGAAAAATAAACCTTGTTTTGCTCTATAAAATCTGTCATGACTTGCCAGACAATGCAGACCAATCTGCAATATGTGGTAAATTTAAGCAGGAACATTAGTATCTGAAAATTTGTTCTTATGTATGCAGTTTGGTTTGCCTCTGAATACAGCAGACTGTCTAGCTCTTTCTCCCTCAAAATAGTCCACTGGGATATGAGGAAATATGTTGGGAAAATAACTTGTAAGACTCAGTTGCAAAGCTGCATGTAAGCAAGACACATTTGGCCTTAACGCCACTAATGTACATTCAGCTAGAAACTACTCAAAATATCTTTCAAAAAGATTAAGAGCAAAAATTCTTTACAAAAGGTTTAAGATAAATGGTGAGTTGTTTTCTTGTATCACATCATACTTAGAACCACTGAAAAACTTTTTAACCTCATCGTGTCTCCCAGTGCAGCTGGGTGACTGAGAATCTTTATTTGAAAATTAACCTCTAATAAATTCAGACCTCTACCATATATCCTTAATTTCCTGAATACTTGTTGATTTAAAATTTTCCATGCATTTAAATCTAGGCCTGGAGAGTGAGGTTTGAAGGCCAGTGGAAAGGGAAAGCTTGTTAAAAGTGCACTGCCAACTTCCATGGCATTGGTGGCTCTAACCTGCTTTAGTAGGCAAAGAGGTAGAGGAGAAGGTATGTAGCAGTTTTTCTAGATCCTCGCGTTTGCTGGAGAAGTGGTTATCTAAACAATGACACTACCATTAGCTGAATTGGCAGATAAGTGACTTCACTTAGGCTTTCGAAGCTAAAAGTTCGATCAAGGCTTATTTCATCGCTTGGCTACACAATGAAACAGTGAAGGTTCACAGTGCATAGTAACCTGTTTTATTTTTGTTTTGAAACAGGAAATCAGGACTCCTTTCACCTTGGTACATGTTTTTCATTCATCTAGTTACGCTTCTTGTATAAACTGTGGGATCCTGTAAATCTTGCCTCTACATCTAAAACCTGGTTTATGTTCACCTGGAGCTAGGCTTCAGATCTGTGAGACTTACAGGGGTGTTGAATGGTGTTCTGATTCAATACCACTGCCTTGCTTCCTTCTGGTGCAGGGTGGAAACTTCTGGGTACTTAACCAGTGCATCATCAAATCTTTCTTGCTACTCTGCTGCTCGACATCATGGTGTGGAACAGGTTTTCAGAGTCAAGACTGGATTAGGTTGATGGAGGCTGATGCCTGCATTTAGGAAAGGAGAAAACAAGCTGGTGGAAATTACAATTTTGTTGTCAATGTTGAATCAGCAGCATGCACCTTCTCCAAACAGAAGCAGGGAAGACCTTTCTCTTGAAACATAAGGCACCTCATATGCCCAGAGGTCCACCTCACAATGACAAAGAAACCATATTGTATCCTTTGGGGCTGTACACATCAAAGTTGCTGACAAGGTGCGTGACCAGAACTTATTTCTACGACCGGGTGTTAAGCCCATGCTGACTGCTTACATCCCTGTTCTTACTGGTATCAGTAGGCACAGAATGCAGAGCAGAAAAAGGAACCCGAGAACAGTTTCTTCGCTGGCACCACCTTGATCCGTTGTCTCTCAAAAAAGGCTGGCTCAGTAGCTCCAGGAATCCGCTTTCCCCCCCGCCCTCTGCCAGCCTGCCTCCCTCCCCTGCCTGCACGGCTTGCCACCACACAGCCTACACAGCCTGCGCAGCCATGTTTCCCCGCATGTTACAACGTAACGGGGAAAGCGGAATCGTTCCACATTTAAAGTGTCAGGCCATGTTAAATTTAACTTTTTAACCACCCTCCCTCCGTCCGTCCAAAGAGCCCTATTTCGAGCCCACCACAGCCCTCAGGCCCCGCTGCTGACCCCCCCCCACTCCGGCACCGCCCCTCCCCACAGCCGCGCGCTCTTGGGGGCCGCAGGCGTCTCCCTCCGCTCCCCG